ATATCCTCTCTTTAGGGCAGTCTCTTGTTACATAATCGCCTATATACTACCCGCATCTCGCCTTCCTTTTACATACTTTTTATGTATATCCTTATTATTAATAATTAAAATACTAGATAACTATTAAGGCCTATTTAAATAGTTAGGTTTCAAATAATTATGCTTTAATTATAAGGCCGCCCTAAATAATATAGCGTTATATCTCTTAAGTAAGAAACTCTATTAATAAAGAGCCCTTAGTCTTTATATACTTTTTATATATATCTTATATATTTATATCCTCTTATTTATATAATTATCTAATTCTTGTGATTTAAAGCTCTAGTATAATTAATTTTAATGTTATATAAATAGTTACTACTAATTATATATTTTTTTATATATTTATTTCACCTTTTTTATATATTATATATATATTTAATAAAACCTTAATTACTTTTACTAAGTAGTCCTTTTTATAGATCTTAAGCTCCTCTATAAATAGTAAGCTATATATATAATCTTTTATAGCTTTATTAAGGACTATAATATTAATGTTACTACTTTATAGTACTTAAATAGCTGCTGCTTTTAAGATAGTCTTCTTTACTTCTTTCAGTATCTCTTTATTATTCTTCCTTTTTAACTTGGCTAATTAGACTTGTATGCTATAACGCTAGTATAACGTAAGAGAAATGCCTGCTTAATATAGGCTAGCCGTTGCTACTAACGCTTATAAGTTCTGTTTTAATAATTATTAATAACTAAATTATATTATTTATATAAAAATAATATAATGTGAAGCTAACATCCTTTTACAAGGTCTCTACTACACTTTCTCGCACTATACTTCAGGGTCTAGGTGGCCTAAGTCCTCGCTTATGCTCTAATTATAGTTTACTCTATAAGCATACAGCACTGGCTGCCAGCTAGACCGATATCGCTTTAACTCGCACATAAAACGCGTACAACTCGCAGGCTCCTAGTACAAGTAAGATAGCTGTTCCAGACTTTTTGTGTATACCAACATGCGCTAACTGTCCTCTCGAGCTACCTAGACGGTCTCCTCAGTGGCCGCTATTAGGTACTACGCCCTACGTCAAACCCGGAGGTTATTCGCTTCGCGTTACCCGTTAAAGTCTCCTTCGTACGGGCCAACTATGTCTCGCAAGCGACTCGCAGTATACACGCACGCTAGCCGCGTAGTGCTCCTCGCTTACTAACCAAACTTGTATCCCTCCCAACTTAACAGATGCCGTCGTAACGCTTCGTTCGCTCCTGTATGACCGCGTTTCCATGTTTCCGAAGGTGCTGCCTGTAGCTACGCACTTAACGAGGGTCCTTCAGCCTTAACAAGGCGCTTCGTACAGGGACTCCACGTTACGACTCGTTCTGAACGCCTTTCATTTGTAGACTGCTTATGTTTCTGCAGAGCGGAGTATTCAAAGGTGTGCCTATGGTCTTAGTGGCCTGTAGCTGAGCTTAACAAGCCCGGAGGTCTTAACAAGGTCCTTGTTGTACAGAGAGGCTCTGAGCTTTAACAAGGGTCTGCCAAATGTTAGTAATTCGTCTGTATTAAGGGATTTCCCTCTCCTCGTCATACAACGCTGCCTGCTTACACACGCCGTACAAACCTAGAAGGGGACAAGTACAAGGGTGTCCTGTCTCTCGAATAGAACGATATCACATCCACAGCCTGTAAGAGCTGCTTCAGGTCTGAGTATGAGTCAGATACGCGAGAGTCGGGTGGTTTTCAAAAGCCAGTATCCCCTGATTTGCGGTCGCAGCTTGACGCGTGCTGGCACACGCGTTTTGCGTACAAGGCCGCGGATTTCGCTTGGTTTCCTCACACGAGGCGACGCTGTAACGCGTAGCGCTCTCGTACGAGTACTCACGCCGGATACCACGAGAAGGTAGAAATCCATATCCCAGCTGCTTGAACGACGAGTAGCTGCTTGATACAAGCTCATCAAGGGCTAAAATTATAAGTATAAACTTATCTTTTTTAATAAAGAAAGCATAATAATAAAGATTATAATAACTCTTATAATTAAGAAGGAAACTAGCTTATTTAAGTACTTAATATACTATAAAATATAAGATATAAGTTAACTACAAAGACTTACTTAAATCTAAGGCTATTTAATACCTAAAGAAGGCCTTTTTATACTTTATATATATTAAAGAGTTTACTATTATAAAATAGTTATAAGAGTTATTTTTATAGTACTAGGTCAAAAGTCTCTGTATACATAAATTTTATTACCCCTTCTAACTGTTCTCTACTTTATACATTTTACTACTATATATTAAACTCTGATTAGAATTTTATAAAAATTAACTTAAAATAATTATTAATGTCTAGTGATTATAATCATACTAATTTCCTAATTAGGTCTCTTGATTTAGTATCTAGTGTGCTATTCTTTTACTTATAGTACGATATTTACCTGATTATCTATTAATTTAATTAGGGAGTCGATTTTATCTTACAGAATAGCCTCCTATACTTCTATAATTACTTAAGCTAATTTATTATACGCTGCTTGCAAATCCCTTAGATTCTTAAGATATGAATACTGCTGATTAATCTACTACTTTATTTAAGCCTAGACATGTTTAATTAGGTTCAAATCTGGGGAATAAGGTGCCTAATTAAGTACTAATATACCTTAATCTTTGAACTATTTCGTAACTTTTTTAGCTATATAAATTAGGGCATTATCTTATATAAATATTGTATTAGGTGGCTAGTATTTCTTAATAGTTTAGTTAAGTATATTAATATAAGAATTAGCTAAGTATTTATTATGTTATACTTACTTATTATAAGTTATAATAATTAAATTAGAACATCTTTTAATCTAAATAATACCCTATACTATAATACTTATATTATAGCCTTTTTTATAGGTTTATATAAATTAAGGATCTCATTTTTGTGTAACTATACACTAGGCTTATTCGTGTTAACCTCCTTTACCTTATTTAATACTTAATTTATTTAAGAATATTATTATAGCCTACTCTTTAACGCTCTAGTCTTTACGATTTAATATCTATTAATATCAAAGATTAATTACTTCTAGTATTAATTCTAGTCTTTTTTTATATTGCTATTTACAGAGATAATAAGGAAGTAGAATTCGCTTAATAATACTGTCAGAGAGTTGAATCTGTAGATCTTGATGCATTTGTACATAAGTTGATTTGGGATAAGAACGAGCATATCGTACAATGGCTCTTTTATCTCTTTCGGAGGTTATAGAGGGTCTGCCCGCACGCAAGATCGATTTGTGGAGGTTGCGTTGTTCAGATAGTTCGTAGGTATATTGGACGGTTGAGGGCGCGAAATTGAGTATGCGACCAATTTCAGCGAATCTCACTCCACATTTGGCTGCGCCTACTATCTCTGCGCGCTCAATAGGCGTTAACTCATGATGAAGAGGCCTATTACCACTGATTTCGCGTAGTGGCCTTCGTGGGGGCATAATTCGTTGATAGAATGGGTGGGTTATGGGTGCAAAACGCGAAAAAACGCGAAAAACGCGAAATCAACGGAGACTTTTGACCGGGTACTGTAACGCCTAATATAAGGCTAAATTCTCAAGATTCATGCTTGCTTATTTGCTTAAATGCAAGATATATAAAGTATAGATAATTCCTTATATTAATAGCTGTTGCTTTTTGCTTATATTAACTAATAATACTGTCCTTTTTATTCCTCTTAACATGCTCTTTTAATTTCCTATAATTCCTTGTCGAATTACTATAATAGATATAATGAAAATAGAAACGAGGACGAGCCTGCTTTATACTCCCGCTTTGCTGCATTATAGCAAAACCCTGAGCAAAAGCGAAGCCCTGGAGACGCTCTCTGCAGAGCCCTACGTTATCAAAGACCTCTCTGTTCGAGGGTTCATTCAGAAACGCAGGGGGGAAAGCCCTCACACGAGCTTCAACTTCGCCGCGGAGCCTGTGCGAATGTACCTGTGCGAATGTACCTGTGCGAATGTACCTGTGCGAATGTACCTGTGCGAATGTACCTGTGCGAATGTACCTGTGCGAATGTACCTGTGCGAATGTACCTGTGCGAATGTACCTGTGCGAATGTACCTGTGCGAATGTACCTGTGCGAATGTACCTGTGCGAATGTACCTGTGCGAATGTACCTGTGCGAATGTACCTGTGCGAATGTACCTGTGCGAATGTACCTGTGCGAATGTACCTGTGCGAATGTACCTGTGCGAATGTACCTGTGCGAATGTACCTGTGCGAATGTACCTGCCCCAAGACATTCCGGAAGTTCCGGTACGGGGATAGCTTTAATACCAGTACTTACATTGGAGTAGTTCGTTGCCGTAGGTGCGGATCCTCATCGACCATGGGGACATCGAGGTCTGCGAATCGTCTTCGACTCATTGTAAAGCTCAAAAAATGTGGTACAGAGCGTGCCCTGCCCTCGAATACTCTTGCGAAGAGGGGGATAAATCGGCGAACGCCTCTACCAGATAGACATATCTCTCAGTTACATTCCTCAGTTTCAAGCTCCAGCGTTCTTTTCTGAGGCTAGAACCCTGACAACATGACTACATAATGTAATGAGTCCTACTGCGGGCTTCGCTGGCGCAATATGTAGGTCGGGTCGATAGCCGAACGGCTGGTCACTCCAAGTTGCTGAATCGGAACTGTTCACTTAAGGATGTAGCCGTCTTGTATCCAGCCAGTACGACAAAAACTTCCTTCAACCACACTGTAGATATGCATCCATCATCTTGGTCAAAATGGACTTTTCTTCTCGGGCTCCTTGGTGCGAAGGCGCAGCCTTCAGCCCTATTGACTGTACGTTGCTATTCCGAAAGTTGAATTGGGATTTGATAGGCAGTGCTGAAGCGCAAGATGTGGAACCTAGAGACCTGATTTGAAGGTCCCCCGAATCACTGTACATGTGAATGAGCTAGAGCCTGCCGACAACGATTTATTATTTCTCACGTCGTGGGGGGCTGGGCCTACTGGCCACGATGTCCCTCTCATCTATGAATTGCGAGGTGTGAGTAACGGCAACCCAAAAGTCGACTGCCAAGGTTAATCCATTTTCAGAATCTGGTTTGGGCTGGCGATATGCCTGGTGAGGTAGCATGGACCAATCATGTCCACAACCTCCATACTTTCGAGTATAAAGGCTTCCGTCATCTTGCTTATAGCCATTCAAAACTGGATGCAGATGGTCTGAATACTGGAGAGAATACCATCTTGAACAGCCAGTACGAGGTTGTGGCTCATTTTAAGAAACCGGACAGCGTTGAGGAATTGGACCCCCATGAGTTCACTGTAATCGACAATGGCACCAAGATCATTCAGCTAGGCTACATACGACATCCCTCGGATTGGCCACTTGTGCCAAATGGCATCGTCAGAGAAGGCGTAGTCCAAGTGGTGGATTTTGCGACAAGGAAAGTGGAATTCGAGTGGCGTGCACTGGATCATGTACCATTGTGCGAGACTTGTCTGGTCATTCCAAATCTTGACTATTTGTGAGTTCAGTGCATACCACCCGTTCGGATCAGAACTGACTCTGCTAACAGTCATATAAATTCTGCTGTAAGAGACTCTCGCGGCGACTTATTTATCATCGCATTTCATACTTGCACTATTTATAAAATCAGCGGCGCTACCGGAGCTATCGTCTGGCGTCTCGGAGGCTGGAAAAGTGATTTCAAGATGCTTGATGGATACGAGTTAAGGCACATGCATCACCTACAAATTCAAGATCTCAATGAAGTCAAGCTGCCAACAGCGCTCCGCGGACGGGTCACGAATAAGACTCATTTAGCATTGTCAATCTTAGACAATGCCTTTAATCCCATATTTAGGAGACCACTGTCCGCAAACTCGTCCTCTGCAATGGTCATTCTGCTGGACCTTGTTGCAATGACAGGACAAGTTATCGAGCGATACACGCAACCAGACGGAATGTTTGGCACCATATTCGGAAGTTTCCAATTTCTACCCAAGGGCGAGCGCTTTATCAGCTGGGGAGGGCAGCGCAGCTTCTCGCAATTCACACAGAATAATGAGCTTATATGTCGAACGTTGCTGACTAATCAGGAGAATAGAATCTGAATAGCAAGTTGTTCTATCTAATTGACCGCGCAAGGAGAGCCTATTTATACATACCAAATTGCTATATCAAACTGCCAATCCATGCGAAATAGCGCGAAACGTCAATACTAAAAATACATGTTAATTCGAGGCGAAACGCGTAACAAATCTGTGATAAAACGCATTTAAAACGTCGCACAATACGCCACCGTTTGATAACCAGCAAATTCATCGAAGACGCGCAGAATCCAATAGCGTTTGTTGCAGCGCTATATATCACGTGACATCCGGTCCACATTATATATCACGCCGAGATCGCAGACAGTGCCAAACCGGTGTACAGCTATCGTGTGTTCAAGGGGCAGTGGCATGGCCAGCCAACAACCAAACCAGATTTGTTCAGTTATTCGTGGACTTGCTCATGGAACACAGTTATGTACGGCAGCTGGAACGGCGCAACTGACGTCGAATCATGGAGATTCTATGGTGGTGCATCCTCATCCGGTCCGTTCAAGGTGGCAGCTGTCGTTACCAAGGATGGTTTCGAGACTCAGGCTAAGATCCCATTCTTTACCAGCCATGCTTATGTTGAAGCATTGGGTGCAGATGGATCTGTACTCGGAAGCTCAAAGATAGTGAAGACACATGTCCCAGGCGCCAATTACGTCAATCATTGTAATGAATATCGCTGCTTCCAGGAACAGAACTGGACCAAAGCAGACTATTCGGAAACATACGTTGATGGCTCTTCAGGCAGACCCACTGAAAGATCTGGTCAATTCGTGTTGAATTACATGAGTGACTGATAATATTCCACGCAGGGTATCCATCAAATCAAATGAACCAAATTTCGCGCCGATTTGGTTCATTTGATTCATTTGTCAAACGAGTCAAATCTTAGTAAGCAATGATTTTGTTAGGATAACTGTCAAGAATTTCCATCTCACAAAAGGAGTCCGCCAAGACTTTTTATTTTTTCAACAAAAATATGCCAAAATATGCTGCTAAGACCCAATTTGATTAATTTGACAAACGTGATTTGATTTGATTGCCAAGCATTTGATTTGACTGGATACACTGTACCCTATCTCGCTTTCTGTACGAAAGCAAAGAAGCCCCACCTCAATCCTTACGACCAAATGACTTTCATCCGTGAGCGATCAGTCACTTACTCCTGGAAGAAGATGTTCTTTCCTCCTGCGAGGCTACCTGTGAAGAAGCACAACGGCATTTGAAGGAGTGTTACAACAGACAGTGGGACTAAGAAGAGCTATATAGTAGAGTCCCTACTATATCTATTGGTGATGATGAGCACAAAAGAAGTGCGCAAAGGAGTAGGAAGCTTTGGGGGTACCAATCCATGCAACCCATCAGCAGAATGCCCTATCCATTACGAAGGTTCAGCCAATACCTGTTTAATCTTGCAAACATTGTCAACGGTTGGTGATTCTGCTGGACTACTGTGGGTACATAGCGTAATTTCACACGTTTTAAAGGCTTAAAACTCGCAGGAATATGCTTTGACGAGTCAGCAATTACAACTTTATCCAAGGTCCCCAAATCCTCTATGGGTGGCTTGCTACTGCATAGACATGAGAAACAGCGCCGAAAACACTTAACCCGATGTTGACATTTTAGCCAGCGTGAGTACCTTCTCTTTCGCGTTCTCATCTATGCACAGGTAAGGCTTAGTATCCTCCGCGGACTTGAAAAGCGCATCTCCTAATATGACTTCGAAAAGTCTTGCCTATCAGTGTCGTTTAGAGCCTGGCTAATCAATTTAGCTAGGACCAAGATTGAATCTACTAATATCTCTTATTTCTGACGAGGTACTCTTTATGAGCTATATCTATGTTCTTCTTGTCTCGTTATGCTTCTGAATTCTTACTATCACAATTCTTGCTTTCTTATTATTACACGCAGTCTTCCAGAAAAAGATTCCTCGCTCTTCACAAAAATAATCATTATCCCTTATAGCATCATAGTTCGAGCTGGCCCTTCGTACCAACCTTGCACCCCCGATGGTAGGAAAAAGATATCACGTCGATAATCCACCAAAGACCTCTATCCAAAACAAAGCGAGCACGTCCAAAAACAACTGCACCAATCCCAATAAGGGCCCAAAGTCCCTGAACGCCAACGCCAACGAATTCACGCCTCATACTGACCTGAATCCAACCAGCGGGTCCAAAACAGAAGTGGTAGACTCGCTGTCACCACTTCAAAGAAGCGACACCAACCCCTACGACGAATCCAGCTCCTCCTACCGACCTAGATCCAGACCCAGCGGATGCCATGATCTCGAGGAGGCGTTCCAAACCGCCACAACAGCCTACCAACAAGATATCAGGAGAACGAGCTCCTATTTTCCGTCTGACGGGTACCAAGAAGAGGTAAGAAGACCACCAGAAGAGCCTGTCAAAGAGGATTACTACTATCCCGCTTGCCTCCCACTTCCCGCCCCTTGTCCGCGCATGGAGAAGGCTTGGCAGACTGGGAAGATAGCAGAGGCGATCCGGGCCAGCTATAGAGCCTCCTGTGAGGCGAAGGGAAAGAGTGCCGTTCGACAGTGATAGGGGCTGGGTGAATAGAAAGGTGGCTAAGTCTTTCTGGTAAGATAATTCATGACTGTGTCGGGGTGAATGCATGCATGCATGATGCTATTGAAGACGAGATGACTGCGAGCGCGTTGAATTTTGTTCTTGCTCTACTGGAGAGAAAGATCATCTGTCCGGATAGACTTTTGTTTGGGCTTTTTATGTCAGAGACTTCATGACGATAGAAACGATAGTTGGGGTTCTAGAACTCTATAATATTTCGATTCGATAAGATATCCATGTATAATTGGATCAATCGACTTTGTGGGGTGTTTGTTATGCCATAAGTAAGTAGTATGTAATTTCCATTCTCAGCGCCCATTACTTGCTAAGGGCCTGTCATATTATGGTATCGGAAAATGGGCGCGTTACCCTCAGGATACAGATATTGACTTGACCAAAAGCCATGATGAAGATCCAGGAATCGATCTTTACGCACATTGCCGTATTGTTCTCACTCAATACTAAGCCGCTCTCCTCATAAAGACCATCACCCCCATCTCAACCTCCACCCGCTACTGTATTGAGCTGGTTCCATACTGACTTCTTTCCCCTTCAACCAAATCCGGCTTCTCAAAATCCATCACCTCCTAGTCACAACCTCCATCCTAATCACTATATCGATGACTACAAACCCAAATCTCGTCATGAAACCGGACTCTTCCTTAGTCCACGTCCGTCTCTTCCACCCCCTTTTCTGGGAGCCCTCAGGTGATGACATGCCACTTCCCTAGCCGCCACCTCGAAGAATGGCCTCTCATCCGTCGTCTCGCCTCTATTATCATATTCCAAGTGGCCATGCTAACCATCGCAAGAGGAGAGTGGGGGTATGGCTTGAAGGCCGCGTCTCCGTCAGCTCCGCAACGCACGGTAGATGCCGAAGAGTGACTGACATGGCTGGCTTGGGGCTAGTTGCGTCGAGGTGGAGCTCCTGGCGCATTTTTAGCTGGCTCCTGCAATTTCGTAGAACAAGACGAGGATACTGTGCTCTACATTACGCCGATGTTCTTGGTTAAACGTGTGTGGGGTTTTGGAAGCCAGGTGGGTTTCGTTGTGCTATCTTCAACAGGAAGTGCTGGTCGTGAATAGATTATTTGCTTGAGATAGCTTGCTTGCTATTCAGTCTATACCAGCTTTGGGCATTGCTGCTTCTTCGTCCAGTGTCATTCACATCCAATGATGCCTCGCTTTGGTCCGAACTCTGGCCGGTCTTTTTCAGACCCTTGACTATGCTCCAACACGTCTCGGTTGCGACCGGGCCAGGTGGATCTTCTTCATCAATCCATTCCATACTCGTACACCCAGGACAGAACTCACGTAGTCTTTGCATCTCCGCATCGTCTCCTTCATCGATCGGCGTTTCCATTTCGGCCGCTTTAATTTCCAATGCTCAACATCCACCCTCACATTTCGCATAACATGAAATAAATTTGGTGACCTGCTAATACCACAGACCATGACGGTGACAAGGCTCGGAAGCTGTTGGACCAAAAGACCGATCAATGAAATATTTAGCTTATGTCTGACAGAAGCATAAGCGCCCCAAAATCAGAATCGTACTTCTTCATGATCATTTCATTGAAAGTCTTGACTAGAATTTAGCGAATGTCCTTTTCATGATTTTTAGAATCGCCGAAGTCCGCCAAGAAAGTGCAAAATATCGAGTTGGTACTACTTGTCGGACAAAAGCTATCATGCAGACCCTCCGAGGGCCGCGGTGCATTGCCTCGAGTTGCAGCGATTCGATCAGGTAGTCCACATACTACTCCAGTCTAACTCTCAACCCACAAGACTTCCAATGTTTCAAGAATTCCCTGCAGACACCGATCTTAAACTTCTGCTCCTTGGAAGCTAGCTGATAGACCAGGTCCCTGACAATTTGGACGGACAGATCCACGAAGCCTCCGGAGCAATATTGACTGCGGAAAGCACCAGCTACTTGAAAAAAGTTGTGTTAAGCTCACGGTAGCTCTTCTTGGGGACATTAGGGCCCATACTGTGTCGATTCTTCACAAATGTCTCGGGCGATGCCTTGGGCTATCAACATGCGCTTGGCATGTAGTATTCTTCTGGATTTGTTGGCCTGTTCCCAATTAAGATGTCCTACGACGAGTGGATCTTCAGCACAGAATCCAAATCCTCCTAGAATTTTTCACTGGGAAGGTAGCCTTGCACCCGAACAGCGTTGTACAGGTGCGCTGTCGAGAGGATAGTTGTGACGCTGTTAGCAAGCAAGATCCTTCATATTGCATCATGAGATGGATACTGAGCTTCAGCAGCCCTGCTAGAAGAAGATGTTTCTTGATAGCGCAGTTCTCGTCCTAACGAATTCTAGACTTACGCGTTGAGTATTTATTGAGATCCTCACTCTCTTCATTATTGCAAGCCAACTTCTCAATGAAATGCATCATTTGTCGACATTCGTTCCCATCTTTGCGATCTCAAAGCTCACATCTATTTGCCTTCGTGACTCGGAAATGTCCTTCCAGAGTAGCCTTGGCTGCGTTGCCTGCCACCTGAAGGTATTTGAGTCCGCGGCTCACCTCAATCCTCGAAATGTGATGCACATCAAGATAGCTTTGAGCAGCAGAAACGAGCCACAATGGAAACTTTCATTTCTTGACGAGCTCGCAGACACCGGCACCAAGTTCATCTTCAGAGGGAGCATTCGAAAAAGAGACAAGACAGAGCTCATGAGGATGGTGGTATCCGCGCTGCTCCCGTGAGATTAACTCAAACCGAGTACCAGTCACCAGCCGCCTCTCTTCCTCTAACGTAACCGGACCACATGTGCAACGGATCCCCATTCGCAACAGAGATTGCTTGGCGTTCTGGCATATTTCGGTTATACAAACATTGCTGGCGTTAATCTGGAAATAGAAACGATTGAAGTAACTTACTAGGTAGTACTTTGCAAACAAACCTTGCTTGATTCTGGCCATTTGATTATTCTCTGTGCTGGTTTCGATAAATATTTGTGAATGGCAGTGAGCTAAAATTAGGGGCTTGATAATCTTGATAGGGGTAAAGATAGTTAAAAGGTTGCGAATGGGGATCCGTTGCAAACCTGGTTCGGTCACGTTACACCCATCATCGGTACCCTTCTGTTATGCTCTTTGACTTCACGAATGAACTTCTTAAGGCAAAAATTCGGAATAAGAAGGCATTGCTCAGCATCGTCCCATTGCCTGAAATCGAACGATTTCCCAGGACCCTCCGTATCCTTGTTTCCAAATCCTTCTTTTAATGGATATATCGATATAACTCAGATAGCATGGGTCGGCTCCATTGGACCAGTCAGCATACGTTTTCGGCACCGGCATCTCATGGAGGAAGTCTGATTCAGCCCCAGCAACAACATAATAAGCAGTGTTATTGTCACTGCTACCACAGTAAGATCGATCTCGCCATCTCTGTACCTTTTCCACAATCCTTCAAGCGCACCTCAGAGATCGTGGAGGTCGTGGAAGAAGAGCTGGAGAGCAGATGTCAAACAGGTAGAAGGAATGGCTCTTTTCTCTCTCTCCAAAAAGGCGCAGGGCGCGCAGAAATAAGTACAAATTGCAGGGAAATTAGCTGCGAGATTGCGGCAGAAATTGGCCAATCGAAAGCAGACAGAGGTTGCATCAGAATGCTCAATGTTGTTATCTACATCTTTGACAGAAGGTAATTCAGATAGATTGGCAAGAGAGGCTGTCTTCATTGTGCCCATGTACTTAGCAGGAGAAGGCCCTCTAAGAACTATGCCTAAATTACCATCAATGTGTGCTTAGTTTCAGCCTAACCGTGATATGATCTAGTTTACATAATATTATACGGCTAAATATCTGGAATCCAATAGAATTATGTTATTTCAGACGTCATTTTAAGAAAATGACGCTCAAATTATGGCTAAACTATGGTCATTTGAGCCTTCTGACGATCCTTAAAATAATAAAATGTCTGCAAAATTACTAAGGACCAATACCGCGTCATTTTCAGAGCCCTTCTCCCGGTAAGTAATCGATGTGACTCAAATAAAGCAAATCAAATGCTTGGCAAACAACCCAAATCCGTGGTTTCGTCAAATCAAATCAAGACTTTGTTGACTAATAAAAGTCTTTGCAGAAAAATCTTTTATTTCAAAAAATTTCGAGTTATTTTTGAGGGAAAGATAAAGGTCTTGGCGGACTCGCTTTGTGAGATGAAAAACCTTAGTAGTCCTCCGAACAAAACATTACTTACTAAAATTTGACTCTTTTGGACAAACGAACAAATCGACCTCTGGGTCTAGATAAGCAAATCAAATGGGGCTCATTATTTGGTTTATCTGATTTGATGGATTTACTGGCTGGCTTTGCATCGTCAGCAGCCTATAGAGGGGAAGACTGAGGCTTTGACACTTCGAAGCTCTCTTCATCAGCCGGCGTGGTAACGAATCGTGCCATTAGCGTCCTGAAGGGTTTTTCGAGTATGGAAGTGAAAGGTGGGTGTTTCTCAAGACTTTCCTTTGGATCCTGGCATCGCCATTCGCGTCAGTTCTTATATATTAAATCGGCAAATTATAATACTCTTTACACAATTTTTACCGCCACATCTTACAGAACGGTCTACATCTATAGGGCGTCCTTTAGATGAGTATGACGCAGGATATCACATTCGAGGGTCGGTTTTCTCACGTGGTAATCTCCAGAATTTAAAACCCCTACTGCATCACACCCTAACCACTCTATCCCTAGACATCGCAAGCCTCAACGCCACCCTCTTCGAATGGGCCGAGAGCTATGACACCAAGGACTGGGCCCGATTACGCCGCTGCCTCGCACCCACGCTCCGCCCCGTCGACTACCGCTACACCTATGGCCAACTCTGGGAGTCCATGCCCGCCGACGCCTTCTTGGCTTAGGAGGACGCAGAGGTCGAAATTTAGTGGGCGAATTTTAAAGGGGCTTAGACTCCACTTGTTATTGTTGTTATTATTACAACATGGATGGTGTAGTCTGAAAGCTAGCAGGCCTTTGGGATTCCTCAACATGGTTTTGAGTGTTCTGTTGCTCAGTTTCAAACCATTTTGTTCTCATATAGGACACGGAAAGAGAAGAAGAATAAAATATATCTATTTCTTTTACATAAGGCGCGGGGAAATTTGTACCCAATTAATATAAAAACCATCTAAATACACACAGTCGAAACAGAGAGGGCTGGGCTGACCCTGGCCTCTTTACCCCTTCCACGAGACCTCCACTAAACTCAACTTGCTCCCTTCCGGCTTCCGGATGCCTTCCAACACGTAGCGCTCATCGCTGAGCTCCAGCAGGCGCTTAAAGTCCCACGCGTACCGCTCCTGGGCGTTCAGGATCGTCGCCATGACAAGGTCGGTCTGCAGGCCCAACTTGTCCCCAAGGCTCTTCACCGGTTTGTCGTCGAGCACGTACTCGATGATCAGGACCTTGGAACCCTTTCGCAGCGCGGGCGTCAGGTTCGCGAGGAGCCGCGCGCTGTACTTATCGCTCCAGTTGTGCGTGCACCGGCACACTAAGAAGGCCGTGGGTGGATTTGCCGCCGGCTGCGGCGTCATGAAATCTTGCACCTCGAACAGGATACGGCTCTTGAACTCGTCAGGGAGCTGCCCGGGCGCCTCCGCTACCACGTGGGGAAGATCCTGTACGGTGAAGGTGAGATGCTTCGTGTGTTGCGCGAGGAGCTGTGATACCTGCCCGTTACCACCGCCGATATCGACGATGCGGGCCCCCGGTGTATCCAGCGTCGACCAGTCGAAAGCATTCAGCATGTGGCGAAAGTTCCAGCTCTCGTCCGCGGTCAAGAAGTGCATGGCCGAGTCGAAGCGGCGGGCCCGCTCGGGTGCCGGCCGCCGCCAGTATGGCGAACATAGGCTGATCGCTGTGGTTATACATGCTGTAGGCGCTCTGGGCAGGTTCGCCCGTGTCCTGTCCATACGTCTCCCACGCCTCGATCACTTTCGTGCTTGCAGGCCCGAGGTCTTCAATCTGGAGGCCGACACCGTCGTAGAAACCCTGATGAGTGGCCAGCAGCCGCGATATGGCCGTATGGCGCACTCGGCCGGAGTCATCTTCATCGAAGATGTTGTTGGCGATGGCGGCTCGAATCGCACGAAATACGAGCGGCTTGTACAGGCCTGAGGTGGCCGCGATCTCCTCATAGCTCGCGCTGCCATCAAGGGGCACGGCGGAGGCGAGCTTGTAGCGCCAAATTATGCGCAGAGTGAGTGCGTCGGTCCACTGTGGGATCGAGGTAGATGTATGAGCGGGACATGGATCGTCGAAGAGGAAGAATCACTCACATTAAAGGCAATGTCCCATGCCGACAGCATAGCTCCCCGAGTCAGCTGTCGGAACTCGTGGCTTGCATCTACAAGCTCCCACCGCTTCTTCTGGGCCTCGAAAGGCAGCTTTTCGAGCGTGTCCACATCAAATGAGGGGTACGGAATGCCACGGGCTTCGAGTTCCGCGTCGATCTCTTGGGCACGGGCGAGGAGGGACTTCGCCATAGACGTAAGTGAAGGCATTGTGACAATAAAAGCCCAGTGCTGTAGTTATAAAGCAGGCCCGTAATGTGCGTTCTTCGATAAAGAAGACCTAGGTAATTCGGTTGCGTCAAGAGGCGTCTTCAGCTTGAGGACGGGATGGCGATTACCCTGGCCGTCTGCGCCGCTTCTACGGCACAGGGGCATCTTATCACTGCCGGCCGCATGATACGGTAGTGCTGTGAACTATCATTTGGCTGTCCTACCCCACTTGGAGTAACATGATGTGCTCAACAATCTCTCCTGTGTTTTCTGTAAGAAGTTCCCCACGTCAAAGCTTTAACACAGCACGGCACGGGTGAGGCCGGAGCTGGAAGTGGGTGGGTGGCGCACATCTTCCACGGGCTGCCCAGCTATCATAGCCCGTTGCAAGAATCCCCTGTTGGAATTGGTCGGGTAATATCTGCAATCAGAAGAGCCATAAAGGACGTGAAAATATGTACGTAGTATATTATGCAAGACAAGCTGCATATGTGTTGGATGTGATGTGCGTTTACGGATATTCTAAGAATGCTGCTAACTACTAGCAGTTAGACTGACAGGTGTAAAATATACCATAGTGTATTGTAACTAGATGTAACTTTTTTTAGATAAAAAAAAGGATAGCATAATAGAAGGATAGGAGGATAGGAGGATAGAAAAGCGTTCTTTCTGCGCATTCTGCGTGCGAATTCTGTGGCCTCTTTCTGCGTATTTTTGTGCCCTTTTTCTGCGCATTCTGCGTGCTAATTCTGCGTTTTAGGGCCTTGGCGCCTAGAGAGCTATTCATCCGAACCTTTGCATCTTAGATTCTAGATAGCTACACACCCACCAATCGAAATTTTGAGTCATAGCGCTCCACAGCGTGTGCATTCTGTGTATTCCAATTTTTGATGGGGTACGGCTTGGCAGGATTCTGCAGCCTTGGCAAGCTAAAGCACTGCTAATTTGCCCACTAATCTCAAGAAGGCAGGAGACTTCAACTTTATCCAATTAGAAAGATGTGATGAAGTGGATGAGTGGAATTCTATCCTACTACGGGGGGGGCCATAAGTATTGTTAGCTCAACGCTTGTTACACTATGTAATTGCCAAGATAGAACGCCACCAAATCGCTCAATTAGGACTAGTCTGGCTTCTTTCTAATGTCGAGTATGCCGTCCTTCTGCATCTATTACTACCTAGCACCTCTCTGGCATCGACTCAAGAAGCTCAATAAGATAGCTCTCAGGGACTGCATTCCAAGCTAGAAATGCGGAGAGCAGTGAGGTCATAGCACCGTACAAGAGGTTCTGTCAAGAGGGCGTTTCGTGAGAATTTTACTAGCGTGGAGCTAACAATATTTATGGGCCCCCCGTAGTACCTGCAGAATCTATCTAGAAGGAGGAGAGGCTGATACTACTGCGCAGAGTGCGGTCACGTGATGCCAAGGATTTGGCTGTACGTTTACGGCCAATTCCAACAAGATGATTCCTGCGGCCTGCATTTTTAGGTCTTACTGTACTTTGCAGCCAATTGATTGAGCTTGGCGGTAAGTTCACATTAGATAGATGATACCCTACTACGGTAGGAGGCATATTAAATGTTACCTCCGCTCTAGTAACAGCTTGTAACGCCAAGATAGAACGCCACAAAATCGCTCGATTAGGACTAATCTACCATCTATCTTACATCGAGCGTGCATCCCATTGGCATCTATAACCACCTGGCATCTTGCTGGCATTGATTGATTGCTGTAGTTGTAGAATAAGAAAGAATCAATTGAGAAAGCTTAACGCGTCAAACGCGGTAAATGATCCCCTAGGGTGGTACGTCGTTTGTACAAGCGCGGTAAGGGTACCTGTATGAAGGTTGTTAATAACAATTTTACTAGTGGAGAGGGTTACATTTAATATGCCTCCTACCGTAGTACAGTGGAGCCTCTGCTAAGAGGCTAAAATATAGCCCAACATGAGCTTAGGTCAATCGGGGAATTGGGGCCTTTACAGGAGTCGATAGCCAAGAAAACACACTTGACTCCATATGACTAGGGGAAGTTGTTATGCTCGAAAGCTATATCACGTCAGATGCTAATATACTGACTCACAACGCTATGTGCTGGAATAGGAATGCGAAACCCTCCCGCACAACCTCCCATTCTCGTTCGCCCACCGAAACTACAGCGAAAAGGTGCCCAGCACCCTCAACCACACCAATTCCTGCCTCCACTCCCTTCGCCTTTAGCGCCTCATACGCTCATTTGCTCTGTGCAATTGGAACCGATCCGTCCGCTGCTCCATGCAGCATGAATGTCGGCATGCGATACTCTCCTCGTTGGGTCTGTGCTAGCGGGCTGATCCCCGCGACCTCCTCAGCCGACGGCATGGGCAGTTCATGAGAGAGCGCCGCCTCGGATGTCGATGCGCAGAATATAGATGGTAGGCCGTATCGAAGGATAGGGACCACCTGGACTTCTCGGTTCATGTGCATGACGATCCGAGAGCGGGGGTCGGGGAGTAAGAGTCGCGATTCGGTGTTTAGTTTGTATGTGGTGATCTAGAGGCTTACGTTAGCATCGCCTGGCAAAACATCTTCAAGAGAAAAGGAACTGCCCACCGGAGCGGCTTCCACACCCTCGAGGAGATTATACTCAGGGTGTCCATTTGAATCAAATTGAGTCAAATAAACCAAATCTGTACTTTCATCAAATCAAATCAGGACTTTTAGATTTGACAAATTAGTCAAATAGAAGTCTTGGCGGAAAAGTAAATTATTTGGAAAGATTCAGGATTATTTTCAATAAGAAAAAAATGACTTGGCAGACTCTTTCTGTAAGGTGAATTTACAAAAGGTAATCCTTTTAACAAAATATTACTTGCTAATATTTGACTCTATTTGACAAATAAGTCAAATCAAATCAAATCAACCTTTGAGATTAGGTAAGCAAATCAAATAGGGGTCAAGATTTGGTTTATTTGATTTGATGGATACCCTGATTATACTCTTCGCTCGTTGCGGATAAACTGTCCTCAGAGGCATTTAGCGTAATCCAAACTGCTCCTGTCAGCATTGCCTTAGCTCATGACCGGCCACGGAGTTGCTTACATTCATCTTCGAAGTTTGATGGAGCGTAAAAAAGGTCAATACCGCATCAGGGGACTTAAGTGCAAGCGCCGGTGCTGTCCACGCAAGTGTCATCGCAAGATGTCCCCCAGTGGACCATCCGACGGCGACGGCCTGGCTACCGTCCAAACAAAGATTGGACTGTGGGAGCTGCAGGTTGGAGAGTTCAAGACGTGCCCATCTAAGGGCATCGCACACATCTGTCATTGCACCGTCCAGGATGTTGAGTTCGGGGCCGCGCCGATAGTCGACGCTCACTGGAATAACTCCTTTCTCAATAAGGAGCTTAATCTGAGCAGGAGGAACATCTTTGCGACTGGACAACATAAAGCCACCACCGTGGATCAGTAACGCTGGTTATTGTTAGAAGCAAATGAGCATTCGCGGCCCAAGACGGCTTACCTATAGGTCTCTTTTTTCCAGTTTTCTCGAGCTGATCGGGAATATTAACGTCGGCGTAGAGCAAGTTCTGCCCTGTTTCCTTGAAGCTGACCGTCTCCACCACCCACGGCCATAACTTTGGTTCATTTGGTAGGTTTTCTGGTACGGATTGATATGCTAGGAAGATACGGAACGTACTCGACTCCCTGCTTTTTCCGCCTGTCTTTACTCGGACCACAAGACCGGCATCTCTCAGCACGTTCATTAGCTGGTTTACCAATCTATTATGTCTGGCTAGGTGTTGGATCTCTGGCACCACCTGGTCCGTCGTGATTGACCTAAGGTCGCATCCGAGTTTAGCAAGCGCCTCGATAACATACGCAGTCACTAACTCTGCCTGAGGAGGATATGCTGTTGTCCAGAACCTCTCGCACTTTACCTCTTTAGTGTACTTGTCCAAGTCTTCTCAAATTTTCTCGAAGGCATCTCGTACACTACTCGGCCAAATTTGAGCGGCTCTTGAACCCTGAGATTCCTCGATGACATTTTCGGCCGACTTGAGTGAGGGAATTGTGATTGAATCTAATTTTTCACCAGAGCCGGGCCCAGTCTCGGGTGGGTTCGTTGGTCCAGTGCTCTGCGCGGCCGACTCTGATCTCGTGATGTCCGAATTGCTAGATAAGGCGGCTGTAGACCCTGTGTTTGCTCGGGAGAATTTGCTTGTCTTGGAAGCTATGAGGTTACACAGAGATTCAATATCCGGCAAATCTATAAAATCCCTTATATCTAAGTTAACCGAAAATTGCTTATGGAGTTCTTCTAGAACCTATATTCCCATCAGGGAACCCATGCCCATGTCTAAAATCAGGGTGTTGTTGCTGATCTCGTCAGTGTCGACATCAGCCACTCTAGAAAGCAACTCGTATAGGGCTTTGTCTAGGTTTGGTAGATCGTCTAATTCTGTATCCGCCTCAGATCCAGCACTTGGCGTCCTCTTGGGCACGGTTTGGATCCTCACTGGCTCAGGTTTGAAAATCTCAATGGGTTCTGCGCTGACTTTGTTCTCCTGCGCTACAGCAACCTGTTTCTGCTCTCCAAGACCCTGTAAAAGCATTTGGCGAAGAGAGCTAATCGCTACCTTCGTGAACTTGGCGCCCAGGAGGATCATGGACAGCTGGCTGCTATGGGGATTGAAGACATAAATGTCGCTGGTGAATTCCGTGTCTCCAGTGTCTGCTGAGTTTGAGTAGACAATCCACGAGGTGCTCTCCGTCGTTGAAATGTTGGTGACAGGGGCTGCTTGAACGCGCCCCAGAGCCGTGTTCACAAACAGCTCGTTATCTGTGCGGTCTCCTAAGCTGTTGAAGTGCAGCGATGCGACCTGGACAAAATTATCAGTCGCCACAGGATTCGTTACGAAATCTCTCATGATATCGTTCGGGGGTAGTACAATTTGACCAGTAGCTTCGGCGTCTTTGGCAGAAACCGCTTTTAATCCCTGGTACAATTCTCCTATTTGAATTAATCCGGAAAGACTCCTATGGACCGACTTTCCTCGGAGGGACTCTGCGCTCAAGTCGCCAATGAGCTCTTTGGTGTGAGCGATGCTCATCAACCGCTGGTAACGGGAGAATTTGGCCTTCACTTTTCGATCGTCGGCCTCGACAAATGAAACTAGCCCTGAGGAATAGTGGGTCGCTTTTGAATCGTGGGTGGCTTGACTGTCGACCGAGAACTTCCATGAGCAAGGAACTCTCATACTCTCGAGTGTAATTGAAATATTCTGGTCTAGGTCCCCTCTAAGCGGAATATGAAAAACCATGTCTTCTAGAGCAGGAGAGCCTTCCAGAGCAGGACTCTCCTGTAGCATCGCAGCAGCCCGAGTCACAAACTCGATATACAATGACGGCGGGCACATCGGCATGCCTAAAACCACATAACTCGTAACGAGTAACTGCCACTCCCGAGACCGTGAATCAATTATGAACTCGGCACCATTAGCATTCTTCTTAGTCAGAGAAACCAGAACCCGCTCGGTAGGTGCCGTGGGACCTATAGACAACGACTCGACAGGTTGTTGTCCGAGTTGTTTCCACTCTAACCAATGGCGTGGCTTGTCGAATTGGTAAGGCGGAAGGTTTAGACTTCTGTACTCATGCCGTTGGCTGCTGTGGAAGGACCAATATTGCAACCGGTGGCCTAACTTCCATAGGTCTACAGTCGCCCGAGCTAGGGAATCGAGAGGATCTGAAGATCCCAGGTTCAGAGACTGAATATGATGAGAAGAAGCGGCCGGTCCTAGGGCACGGCGCACCATGGCCGGCATTCCGGATCCTGTTCCTGCTTCTAGCCATGTGCAAGGCCCAAATTGTGTGGTAATCCTCCTCACGGCCTGAGTGAAGAACACCGGCTCTCTCGTGTGCGCAACCACAAGTTTTGGTGTCGCTGTCTGCCAGCTATGACCTTTAGAGCACGTTTCGAGGGGAATTAAAGGGTCGCGAAAATTGAGCTGCTCTGCCAATTCTCCCACACTAGACAGCAGAGGCTCAGTCAAAGCTGAATGAAAGGCATTAGTGACGTCTAGTCTCTTTCGTTTTAGGGATGACAGCTCGACTGTGGATGCGAGAAGGCACTCTAGTGTGTCAATGGATTGTTAGAAGATGTAGCAAACAGCGTACGGAGGTGCCAATTCACTTGATTGAGTTACTCCTATCAAGAGGAGCATTTGCTCATACTAATAGCTATAGAAGCGCATTACTGTAACAGCTCAGAAACAGCATTTGGCGTTCAATTCGTATAGCAATGCTCACTGCCATAAATGACAGGGCGTAACAGTTACAAGAGCGTTTCGTGCGTTTTGCATGCGGGGACCCTTGTACCATCATGCTAATACGCAACAGATACGTATCATATACGCAGGGATTCTGACATGGATGCGGTTCTTCCAGCAACAACGTGGCTCTGAGGAGCATTATAGCAAGCGATCCCGACATCGGGTTTTTCTAGTCGGGAGATTATATCAGACAACTGTCGTTCATCTGTCTCAATGGCTAGCATGGAGCCCGGATCTATACCCCAATGTCTCTGTATTAGTCTTGCGCGGCCGGCGACGAGTTTGAGGCTATCGTGAAGAGATAGAACACCGGCAATGCACAGAGCCGTGAGCTGCCCGAGGCTATGTCCGATGAGTGAATTAACTTGGAGACCGGAATCCAACCACGCCTTTGCGCATGCGTATTGCTCACTGAATAGCATTGAGTGTAGCAGAACTAAGTTCTGGACTGGACTCGAACCGAAAATCGTGATAGATGCTCTGGAGTTCCATAGCTTGCAAGGTTGTATCGCAACCGTCGAGGTGCTTTCGAAACAGAGCTGAAGATTGGTATAGTGTTTTGGCAGAACTAACCGTGTTGCTTGCCTGGCCACTGAAAGTTAGAATCACTGGTTGGGGCCTGGGTGGGAAGCTTTAACTGGGTTGATAATCGAGCAGTCCCCGACTTCAGAACATCCTTAAGCTCACGAATAGACGATACCGTTGTGAGCAGCGAATAGGAAAAATTGGGATTTATTCGTCTGGATAAACAGAATGCTACGTTTGCTAATGCTTCATCGTTCCATCCTGTTGATTTCTCGATGTACTGGTAAAGGGACAAACAGTACGAAGCTAGACTTTGGGGACTAAAAGCGGAGACCGTGATGGGATACTTCGTCGATGACAATGATCGCTCGTCTGCTGTTATAGAAGGCAAGCCCACATGAGGCGGTTGCATCACAATAATTACTGCATTACTCCCAGACGCCCCATAATTATTGACGCAAGCTGCCTTGGACATGAATTCTACGGTATGTTTTTCGTTCGAATTGCCACACGGTACGGATCCAAGGGGCTAATCTTAGGATTAGCCTTTCGAACAAGGCCAGTTGTGGAATCATTTCATGTTGCATCATTAGCACCGTTTTGATGAGCCCCGCCACACCAGAGACCGCCTCTGTGTGCCCGATAGTGCTCTTGCCCGTACCCATGTAGAGTATTTCCGCACGGTTAGCACCGCCAAACACGGTACTGATGCTATTAGCCTCGATCGGGTCCCCAACCGGTGTGCCGCTGCCATGCGCTTCGACAAAGTCGATGTCGTGAGCATTCAGACCTGACAGCCGCAGGGCTTTGCGGTACAGCGCCATTTGTGACGGTCCATGCGGAACTGTGATATGAGTCTCGTTGGCGTTCTGGCTCACGCCCGTAGCAGCAATGACAGCCATGATGTTGTCGCGGTCCCGAACTGCGGTCGTAAGTTTCTTAAGGACCACCATGGCTGCTCCCTCGCCACGGCAATAGCCATCGGCCGCAGCGTCAAAAGATTTACATGCGCCGGTTTGGCTGGTGAAATGGCCGGCGGCGAGGTCCTGGAAGGTTTCGGGTCTGTTGAAGATATTCACTCCCCCAACGACGGCGCTTGTGCATTCGCCAGTCGCGATTGCTCGACATGCTGCATTGATAGCGGTGCCGGCCGATGCACAAGCTGTATCGTATGTAATAGATGGCCCGGTCCAACCAAAGTGATGGCTTATCTTGCCAGTGAGGAATGGCCGAAGGGTGCCGATGGCGGAGAAGGCGTTGGGAGGGTGACAAGCAACGTGGTCGACATGCTCATGTCATCTACACACCCAGTTCGATCATCAATCTTTCGTAGGTGTAACGTTCTCGACTGTTATAGTTGAGTAAGAAAATCCGCATGATAGAATTGCGCCACGTGTATCAACGTCTTGCTTGATGTCTATTGACGAGCTCTCTGGTGCGGGACGGATGAACTGAACAATTGCTGACCTTGTACACTGTGCCTATGCTCGCCTGCATTAAGATTGTGACCAAATATCAGTAGCTGCGTATAGGATGTGTTGCCACATTAAGCTGACGTGCTGCGGATTTTGGATAAGGGGTTCATACGCCTGTTGGGGAGCAGTTGGTTTCCAAGAACTTCGCGAATTGCGCCTTGGCGCAGCTCCCCTCAACTTGGGCATTTTGAACTCGATTGCTACTAGTATCATCCGAGTCCTCCGTTTATTTCCAAATAATTATCCTGTCTTGGCGGACAGGCCGATTGAATGATTCCTTCAAGCTGGCCATAGTAGAACACAATTTTCTTTGGGCCTCCGAACACCAGTCATTGATATGAAGCAATTAAAATTGTGTTCACCTTTTTCGTTTGCCATGTTCTTTGTCCACCCGAGGCCAGGATTCTAACATCAATACTCCATATTAGCGAAATCATTCAACAAAGTAGCGCCATCGCACAGGGTTTGTCTACAGACATAAGAGGCAATGCTGGCTCTGAGCTCTAGAAGAACTTTCCTTGTGAAATGATTGACCCCCCTTTATAGGACAAGACGTAAATACTTTCACCTTTCCGCCATTCTATTTCACAGCAAGCGTGGTACTCACGACCGGAAACCGAACCACCATAGTCTATAGCTGGGGCAACGCAGAACAGGTATCTAGCAATTGTGGCGATAAGATAGCCAAGGCCAAACCCCAAGTCACACTTCGCGAAAGCAAATGGTCTGCCACGGCTCAGATTCTCACCTCATCATGTGCGGCCGGGGGGGGCAACATCCTCTTAATCTTCCTGCTACTGGGATTGGTTGACTACTGTTTGCAACCTTAAGCCTGCTGCTTTTATCTCAGAGGTAGGACGGCACCTTGCGGGGTCAGGCGGATCTGAGGCCGCGGTTAGAAGATATCATGGCGTCCAACCTAATCACCAACCTGATTGCTTGTTTCAGGAGTAAGCAGTTGGAATTCTCGAGACGAACAAGAGGAATGGCTGGACAGCAGCGTGTTGGCTATTGCCGGAAGATTTGAGCAGCGCCATTTTCATGAAGGCGCAAATGTCGCGTACCTCGGGCCCGGTGCTTAGTAATGATGGAAACCATTCGCCTTGAAGTAACTTCATGGCAAGCGCCTAAAGATAAGTATTATACTAACCGTGTGATTGTGTAAGTGGCTTGGTACGAGGTGATTGTGATTTGCTTGATTCAGATGTCCTTCTGTCAGAATGCTGCCTATCTTACGGTATGATATGAATCTTGTACTGTAGATAGCATGGCGCAATGGAAGCAAAGCTCCTTCAGGATTGGTATCTTATCATAACTATACAGATACGGGAACTGTGTCATCATGCATGGGGTTGAAAACTGGGCCTTCGGGCCGCAACGTGGATCCTGTAACAGTACCATGGTACTCCCCCAACTCTTGGCAGTCGGCGTTCGGCACGTAAGTATCTCCGACCCACCAAATTTCGGTGCGCGCAAAATACTCGCACGCCGTATGATGATTTGGATACTAAAATGCTCAAGCTGGGTACGCTCTCTGAGGGCATTACCTAATTGGGGTTCTTGATACTAGCTACAGGATGCCTCCTGCCCTCCCACGCTTGATCCCTGCGGTGGGGTCCTCCTGCGAGTCTCCGAATGCCTCCCGGTAAACGGTTGTATGCTTCCGGGGCCTCTTTCGGCTACCCTCAACCATAGCAGGGGCCGTTGAGGGGAGGGGGAGCTCATCTTCCAGGGATACCCTAGGGCCTGCAGTATCCTTCTCCGCCCACTGCCTCTGTTCGTCTCTCTCCATTGCCTCTACCGCGGTCATTGCTCTGCGCGTGGTTTTGTCATGGTCCTTGAAATCGCGCCTCCACCCAGGCTTCTTTACCTGTTCAGGCAACTTTGTTAGCAAGCCTGCCTCACTCTGGGCCTGTTCAGCTATCCGTATGACCTGGGCGTTGGCCTGAAGGATAGCCTGATCCACACGGGCCTTAACCTCGCCCTAGAGGTTATCTCGGAGATCAATTAGCTTCTGAGCGCTCTGGGTCACCTGATTCCGCGGGGGAGAGATAGGCAGGGTGATAGTGTTGATAGAGGGCTGCCAGTTACTAAACTGAATAATAGGGCCAAAGATTTACCACCGTGGGTGATAGAGAGAGCGAGGGATAGGCAGTCCGTTACGGTAGGGCCCTTGGAGATAATGCCTACAAGGCAGACCGTAGCGGAGGAAAAGCTCGCATTGACAGGGAGAGGCAGAAGTAAGAATATCTTGATCCACTTGATCCTTAGTGTTCTCTCATTCAGAGGCAGTCAACTCTACGGCGTAGGTACTGATTGTACCTGCTAACTAGGCAAAGGCTCGCTTGTCAAGGGTCCTAGGGAGCTTAAGGCCACTCTCCGTCTCCTCGTTAGCGAGTGCCCTGAGCTTCTGTCGAATGGTGGTATTTAAACGGTTGGTGGCCTTAGCAAGACAAAGCTGTGGGTTGAGGATCTCCTTCATAACTGGATGAAGGCTCTCACAGCGCTGATTTGCATAGCAACCTAAATTCGGATACTGTTTGGTATAGAGGCGGAGAAACTGTGTCTCTTTTAGGCCCCACGTACGAAGAACGTACTCAACATCGCTCTGAGTGAGCAGTGCTGTCAGCCCAAATCGCTGTTGAGTGACCTCCGCTATAGTGTCTGCCTTACAGTACCGCCAGAACTGTTTAACTACCTCTTCGCGCTGATCCTTTGTATATCCTCCTTTTAGTAGACGTGCCTTAATATTCTGACTAATGTGCCAGTTGCAGAACTGAAGAATTACTGTTGGTAGGTGGTTTGGAAGTGAGGATATTATGCCTGGAGCTTAATTAGAGAGAACGACTCTTGGTGAGGGTATCTCGTCTATAAAAATGAAGTCCTTGTGGCATTCGAATATAAAGTTAAAGCTGACTACCGCCTTAGATTGAGCAAATGACTAGCTTATAAGGAAGCTATAGCCTATATTTGTTATCCTTACCATAATGATCAGCGTCAAATTCAGAGCGTTAGTAGAGAACGTGCCATTTAAGAGTAAGAGAAAGTCAGTAATAAAGCGCTAAGCAAGCTGAATTTGCTCGTCAAGAGAGAACTAAATCTGCTATATTTAATGGCTAATAAGCTCGCTAGCTTTGTTATACTTGATATCAGCTCTACAGGCGTATCTGAACCCTGCCTTATCAAGCGTATAAACAAGCGCCTCAAATTCGTTACAAAGCTTACTAGTTTTCTGCTTGTGATGGAGGTTATAGTAGTCAGTTTGAGAGAGGCTGAGCCCTTCTTTACTAAGGATCTGCTAACTAGTTATGTAAGGAAGATATAATGCTCTGTAAGTTAAAGCTTTGTTTAGTGCCTCTAAATATTCCTCGTTTAAGCGGAGATGTTACTTATACTGCAGAGGATTAATAGCTATAGGGTGGTTATGCTCAGCACTAGTAATACTTAAAACAAGAGCTTTTTGAGCGGATCCCTGTTTAACATTTTGAAGAGAGAGATAGGCTCCCTAAAGGCAATTCTTCTGCTGTATATAGGTGCTCTTGCGCTGCCTCTTGCTAATAGGCTTGCCCTCCGGGTCGTACTGTACATAACGTTCAAGCCGACAATTGTTTTTAGTCTCGTTACCGTGATGGACACATCTGTACTATATGCGCACGCGTTTTGAATCAGTGCTACCGCTGACCTTGACCACAGCAAAACCCTTGCTTAGAGCGTATCCCTGTAGTCGACGTATACAGCTCTCCGCGCTTTCGAACTCCTCTCCCGCTTGCAGGGGTGATAGGTACGCCTCTGGCAGAGCTTGAACGATGGTTTCAAGCCTATTTCGAGCCTCCAGGGGGCAGAGGGGGTGTGCCTGCTAGGGAGTCATTTCGGAGAAGATCAACACCAAGAATTGCTATACAGAAACCGAATTAGGAGGCGGAAAGCGCGCAGAAGAGCTGGTTTTAACAATTTTTATTGTACGGGCATATCAGTATTTTGCACGCACCGAAATTTGGTGGGTCGGAGATACTTACGTACCCCGAACGCCGACTGCCAAGAGTTGGGGGAGTACCATGGTACTGTCAAATGGTACTCCCCCGAAGCACTCCGGTAGTGACTGGGGACAATGGCGTTTCACATCCACGTTTGCTTTCACGTTCGGGTTCGGGATCGGCTGGGAATCGAGCAGGGGAAAGATCGAAATCAGTGCAAATGGTCAATTGTCTACTATCCTTGTTCACAAGCTGTCTTGAAAGGAGTTAAGCGAGCTGCAGTGAGACAGTGCTGCAGGATCTGGCAGATAGAGTTTATCTGCTTATCCCCATTTGGAAAGTTACGCGAGAATGCTCCACTAAGTTGATGATTTTGTTGGGCTCATTTCCTATTCTTTTGTTGCTTTCCAACAACGAATTGACGGTCATCAGTAAATGCGGCTAAACTTCAGACACGGGTGTGTGACCGTGTGTCTGAGCACACTCTAATGCAATCGAAAGCCTGATGCCGTCCCGTGAGGCCCTTTTTCAGTCCATTGAACGAAGCCGGCATCAGAGGCGCTGGGACTGCCATGCACTGAAAAGATCGAAGACACCTTAGGATATCCATGCGAAATAGTAACACCGCGTATCATGAAGCTACCTATCCTCAGCATCAGTAGGTTCATTTTTCTCTGCGCAGCAACCTCACTGCGAATATATTGGGTGCGCCAGAAACGTGGGTTGTCGGATAAAGCATTCTTTGGGATCCCCGGAGATGACATTGGTAGGGAGGAAGAAATAGTTCGCACCAGAGCCTTGCACGCCCACCGAGCTCCCCCGAACACGGCCCACGTGCAGCATCCTGCTCGGCTCCCGTTGAGGACGAAGAAAATCAGTGCATAGATGGAATGCACCTTGGTTGCAGCCGGTTCTTTTCCAGGATACAAAATCCGAATTGTACTCTGCTCACCAGCGATGACGACTGAGGCTTGCAATGTATCAATATCATTGGTGCAATACTGACATGGTAACAGGGATCCAAGTTGCTGGAACTCGGAACTGATCTTGCATTAAGTACAGGCAGTACAGCATGGGTGGCACTCAATCCTAGTGTCCCATGCTATTGGAAGATCTTGGTTGCAGGATGGAAGCTTTACACGATCTAGTTCCCCTTTCAGAGAACAACTTCGGAATTCTCAGGAAGTGCCATGGGAAAGGAATAGCCAGAAACATGGACAGCACTGTCTCTGAATTGGCGTTTTATGATGGTCCTTTGTGTTGTTAGTTGCTAAATAGGCAGAAAAGAGGACGTGGTCGTCGTTCCTACCGCTTAGGTGCCGTTTGGTGCCATTCCGCAAGGTGACGACACACTTTGAACATGCAAAACATCTCTCATCCTTTACCGAGTGTGTTGTTGTGTCCAAGTCCAACGTCTATTGCGACTTGCCTATGGAAGTAGATATCGAGGGGATGACGCTGTTGCATCCGTGGTGGTCAGCAATCACGCTGGTCTGATGTGGACCAGTCGCCCCTACCAAAGCACAATATCTCAGTATCTCGTGCTTCGTTTATACAACAAAACACTAAGTACATGCCACTTGATGCAGCCGCTGTGGCGGCGATCCACAATGAAATAATATCTTCTCCCTACTGGCTCGTGTCAACTTGTGCAAGATTTCTGCTTGTGCAGTTTACACTACTGCAATTTCAACACTTGCAAGATTGCATCGTGTGTATTTCTGTTTCTCTGTGCAGCTACTTCAAGCAAGGGACGCGCTCATCTCCCGTAGTCTGATATCCCCGAACAACCTGGGAGCTGTGGAATGCGCCCTTGCTGAAGCTCAGACTCCACCTCATACAGTGTGTGCGCACAGCTGTAAGGAATGACCAGCAACCTTCAGACAGCAAAAATGGCAGGTGAGCATAGCTTTCTTTTCATGTCTATCTTTCCCAACAACTTCTTGGGAAAGCTTATCCCTCATCACTTCGGTGTACCAGCTTGACTGGACAGGTGGAAAAGAACGACTATTATGGCCGAGGATGGTCTTGTGCTCTTATGAGCTATATCATGACAGCCTTCCTATTCACAGTCCAATGTCACTTGAGCAAAGAGGCAACTGTGCGCAGCGTGCCTAGCCGTGATCAGCCTTTGGCAACCTGCTGTACCACTATAGTGGACGGATATGACTACCAAGGATGAGCTTCTGAAGCTCACTTGAATATCTGCGCCCAGTTTCAAAGTCGTGGAACTATCTACAAACTTTTTCAACTGCTTTGCTGTTGTATATACTGACTCGCAATCATATAGTAACAACAACCTCTTCTACACAATCAACAGTGCACATGCGCAAACCAGATTCCAGCCAGGAGCAGGGTCATTCTTCTGCGCCGATGAGCAACAAGGAGGTGGCAAACTGGGACGTCGAAGCACAGTCTCTTGCAAGCCAGACCACAGCCAATGCAGAGGAGCTTGAGACCCTTCCACCAACTAACATCAGTGCTTCTTGTTGCCCTCCAACCTTCCCCGAATCCGTTTATGCCACTGGGTTAAACGCCTCAACATCCATCACCACGCCTCTGGAGATCGAGTGTGAGTTGCCACGACAGAAGCATGTTCCGGTACTTCGGTCACTAAGATGGACATTGTTGAACATATACCATCGACTGTGTCTTCTGGTGCTGGTACCCAACCTTATCTTCATCGTCACATCAGCAGCACAACACAATCTGTTCAATATACCGCTGCCAGACATGGCTACCGCAGTGGCTGCCAATATAACTCTTGCAGTCCTAATGCGACAAGAACTGGTTATCAACCTGCTGTTTGCTTTGGCAGCCAAATGTCCTCGCAGAGCGCCACTACGAATCCGAAGAGTCCTGGCCAAGATCTACCATATGGGCGGAGTGCACAGCGGAGCAGGAATTGCTGCTACGGTATGGTTCACCTTCTTCAACGCAGCGCTTCTTTGGCGTTGGCGAACCAATTCTATCCCTGGTCTGTCGACGAAGCAATTTCCTCTGCTTGTTGCGTTTACAATAGTCATCGATGTGTTCCTCATCTGCATTGTCGTCTTCGCCCACCCTAGTCTAAGGCGACGAAGTCACAACACCTTCGAATTTGTCCATCGGTTTGCAGGATGGTTGACGGTGTTCCTCTTCTGGGTCGACCTCTTCGTGCTTACGGACGTGCTCGAAATGGCAAGAGAACCTCCTCGGCCGCTCGGAGCAGCTCTACTTCAGAGCCCGGCCCTCTATCTACTCATCATCGTCACGGTCTCTCTGATTCTCCCATGGCTTCGCTTGCGCAAAGTCCCTATCCGCGTCGAACATCTTTCCAACCACGCATCGAGATGGCATTTCCAACACACGAACGTGGAACTATGCTCAGCATCCCGCGTCACAGACCGACCATTGTGGGAGTGGCACTCGTTCGCAGGCATTCCCGAGCACAACGGCACCGGCTACTCGGTCATCGTGTCCAACGCCGGCGACTGGACCAAACGCATGATCCAAAACCCGCCCGCCCAACTCTGGGTCCGCGGCATCCCCGTCCGCGGCGTGCTGCACATCGCCACCATCTTCCAGAAAATCGTCGTCGTCGCCACCGGCTCCGGCATCGGTCCGGTCCTGTCGCTGCTCACCGCGCGCGATCTCCCCTGCCGTGTCCTCTGGTCCGCGCGAGACCCGATCCGCACCTACGCCAAAACCATCATCGACGAGGTCTTCGTCGCCGATCCCGCTGCGCTCATCTTCGACACCAAGGCCATGCATCCCAGCAATCGGCCCGACCTCCTCAGGCTGGCGTACGGTCTGTACAGAGAATCGAACGCCGAGGCCGTCTTTGTCATCTCGAATCAGAAAGTCACGGAGAAGTTGGTGTATGGCTTGGAGTCGAGGGGTGTGCCGACCTTTGCGCCGATCTTTGATTCTTGAGCGGGAGACGGAGGGTTGGTTGGGCGTGTCTTTTGGCGTTTCAAGGCTGGGGAGTACGCTCCGGGGGGAGGGATGTTGCTTATGGTTGAGCTCGTCGTCGTTCACGTAGCTGCGGGCAAGGAGAGGGATGGGAGGGAGGATGCGCTCCAAGATATGCCGCTTATGCCATAAAGAGACAGCTCAAAGTATGTATGAACATAGCAAGGTTTTCAATGCAATACCCTGTATTGACTGGTTAGTATGCTATCGGTGCTCTCTTTACCTTCTACTACACACGCCCATCGCGATGAACACCAGTTCAGTTCATTCATCAGCGAACATCCACAACCCCATCTCTCCCTTCCCAATCCCACTCCCACTCTCACTCCCACTCCCATCCCCCTTCCCCTTGACGCGCGGATCGGGATTCTTCATCGCCTCCCTCCACCGCGCCTTGACCTCCTCCCGCTCCCTCCTCTCCGCCTCCATCCGATCCTCCTCCCTCTCCTGCGTCGCAGGGAAATCCACATTCCAGAACCCGGGCGGACTGGGGGCGCGCTGATGCACCGCAGATGGGCCGTGCGCGCTTCGAGGAGATGGGACGCGCGCTCGGCGACATCTAGGCCTTCGTAGCGGGCGGCTCCGAGGTAGGACTTTAGCGCCGCTTCGTCTTCTGCCGTGAGGGTTGGGGTGGGGGATCGGTTCGTTGTTGTGGTGGTGGTGGTGGTGGGAGGCAGGGTTTGGGCCAGCGCGGCGAATTGACGGCCGCAGCATTCGGGTCGCGTGCAGCCGGGCAGGCGTTTGCGTTCGGATTGGTTGCGCACGACCGAGGTGTAGGCGTAGCTGAGGTTGTGGTTTGCGGCCGGGTTGAGTTTGAAGTGGGTTGGGTTGAGGGAGGAGGGCGGGAGGGTGCGGTAGGGTGGGTGGGAAGGAGTAGGATTTGTAGTCTCGTGAGCAGAGGAGAGCGCGGGGCTGGAGATGGAGCTCCAGGTGTGATGTGGGGTGCGGGTGTGCTCTTGGGCGCTGTCGCTGCGGATCTTGGGCCGGTTGCTCCTGACTTAGGTGTGCTGGCGTTGTCGATGATGCGATCTTGTTGTTTGTAATGGTGCCATCTTGGGTGAACGGCGGACGTTTCTGGGGCTCTGCCCTTGTGCTTGGTAAGCAGCTCTTGCGCCTCGTCCCACCATTCCCAATCTTTTTCTTCTGATCGGAGTAATTCGTTGAAGGGCGTTTCGCGGCCTAATGTTTTGTTCAGAGTTGCAAGAGATAGACTTCTATCCATCTCCTCAGTGGTCTTCCTCGATATCTGTGGCAAACACTCCCTGGATGCCGGTGGCCTCGTCAGGAGACTGTCGAGTCGTCGATGCACCCCGGGACCTACTAGACGGGGGCTACAACCGCGATTCGTAGACGTTCTTCGAGTCTTTGTGGTGAATTCTTCACCGTCCTCAGCGATGGTGGGAATAGCCTCGACGCCTCGGCTGTCCTCATGTTTTCTTTTCCTGGACTTCAAATCAGATGACAAATCCGCCTTTTTCAGTCCCCTTCGTATATTGCCATCGATCCGTCTGAGTGGCGTGGCTTGCCTTGCATTGATGTTCACTGCTGCACGGCTGTTGTTTGGTTGGTCCACCAATGATATTGGCTCCTTGAATGACGTAGGCTCGCTTGCTGCTCGCTGCGAAGCCATGGTCTCTAAGTCAGCACGATTCTGCGGCACATTCTCTTCGAGCGGCGCTGTTGTCAGGAGTGGTCGTGGCCGATGCTTCCTCGGTGATCTTGCTTCAACCCTTGACGCCGAAGGGTCCAAGCTTTCGTGAATAGAGGATTCCTGCCTCGTGAACTGCGGAGGTTTATCCATTACAAAGCTCGTGTCTGGATCACTCTTAATGGTGACAGGTTCGTTGGCATTGCCAGCCGGTATATCCCCATGGGAAGCGACATCCCTTGCCGCTCTTTTCTTGACCGAGCGAGCTCCCAAGAACTCAGGAGTGTCGGAAGACGGAACATCATCTGCTGGAGCCTGTTCTATCGCACCAGTCGCTGGTCCTTCCGAAGGAGGGGCAGTTGAATCTGACCGTTGGATTTGAGGTAGCGAGCCTCGACTTGGGGCTCTCTCTATGCCTGTGGACGAATCTCTATCAGAATGAAAGCCTCGCTGATGTTTCCTCTGTATGGATGGAAGCTCCGGTGATAGAATGCGTGGCTCATTTCGGAGATGTGCGTCAACAAATGATGATTCAAAATCGGTGGCGTCTGGCGGCTGCTTCGTCAATTGTGACTCACTTGAGGCTTGAGAGCCCTTCCACGTGATGCTGCTGTCGGCCTCAGCTAACTTATCCAAGCTCCTTCTTTCTTCGGATCCGTTTGGTGGGAGCTCTGATTCGGCGGGAACAGGGCCGATCTGCTGCAGCGACACATTCCCTTGAGCATGAGCCAGGCCACCAGCGTGATCTCTACTCTCCGAACGGTTTCCTCGAGCATTTGACCTGTCTTTTGCATGGAGCCGGTTCAGCGATGTGTCGAACGTCCTCGTCGCGGCCAATTGTGGTGAGCCTGGACCTGGACTAGAGAAGTTATTCCAGCTTCTCAATTTCTCTCGTTCCTTTCTCAGCTGCTTGATAAGATCATGCTGGTTTGCCGCCGCCGTCACTTTTAAGCGCTCATGCTCTTTGTATAGATCGTTATGTTTCTCAATCAAAGCTTCCAGCCTTGTCGAGTCAACGAACCCAGATGTGACTCGTAATGTTGTGGCTTCTTCCTTTAGAAGAGTATTTTCTTCCTCCAAGCGAGCACTCTCCACATCCTTGGTGCTAATGGCACGCTGCAATGTCTGCACCTCCTGTCTCAACAGATCGCATTCCTTGGTCTTGTCTCGCAACTGCTCTTCCCACACCTGGAAAAGGATTGCAATACTTCCGTTGACCAGCTCTTTCTGCCTCTGAACAGTCTCCATTGATGCGAGTGCCTAGCCCTGCCCTCTCAGCTCACCACGGTTGATCAGTTTCCATCGCTGTCAAAATTGTTCCATTTTGTAGTATCATCATAATCGTAGTAGTATTGAGTTCGTGTCAACGCGATCTACACTAGTCCTATTTTGGCCTATCGATAACAGCCAATGGGACGATGTTTAATGGACGGCTCAGTGTGCCGCTATATGGGAATAAACGCCTCCCCGCCGCTTTAAGCTTGCTAATGTTAAGGCCAAGGCCGACATATCTTGGCAATCATGAACATGACTTCAAGTTGCAGAGGCGTTGTACTTCATCTTGAATTTCTGGCATTCGCCAGCTGTACTTGTGTTCATCTGTAACAAGATGCCAAAGAGGAGGCGGCTTGAGGAAGAACGCCCTGCTCAGCCGGCCAAGAAGCCTCGTTTACGCTTCGACTATGATATTTCCCTCTTGAGTGACGAAGTCATTTTGAAGATACTGACATACCTTCCCATTTCAGACCTAGCGACGTGCCAGCGGTAGGTGCTTCGGTCCTTCTTAATGATTTCACTGATTACATCAGGCTTTGTCATCGTCTTCAGCGACTCGCTGGCGATTCCGAACTTTGGAAGGAGAAGTATTATGCGCGATGGGTCAGACCACGGGCATTACGCATACCAGGCTTGAAAGACACGATCGCTTCTTCGGAAGCATTTCGATACTCTTCCAAGCTTGCGAAATGGCTGAACGATAGGCATCTCATACAGGAGGGCCGCCGTACAGATTGGAAATGGCAATATCGTCTCAGGGACAATTGGTGGAGAGGACACTGCAAGGTTCGCGAAGTTGAAGTGGCTGTGCCTCCGGCGCCCTCTGTATTTGTCAGAATCTATCGAGGCGTTACCTTCACGGCGGATGCGAAGAGCGGCTTACGAGCCTGGACTACCAAAAAGAATCCGTTGTTGATCGCTAGCCTGCCTTTCGGCGTCGATACGAAGACAGGATGGCCCGAATGCCGTCCGACATGCCTAAGCATCGACACCGAATCCTCCACGAACACTGATGTCTGTGTCGGATTCGTTGATGGATCTTTCAAAATTTACCGGCTTAATGGGGGAGAATTCTACTCACGATACGCTCACGCACCATCAAGCAATGGTGCAATATCCGGCATCGCAATGTTCTATCCATACATATTGACTATTTCTGACAAGAAAATATTGTCTCTGTATCGATTTCCGTCCAAGGACCATATATGCAAACATTTATTGGATCCTCACCTCCTTGCATCACTGCAATCCAGCTGTGTGTTCGCACCCATATCACTTTCAATCCGACCCAGTTCTGGTGGCCTGGTCGCCACTATTGCATATGCACTTACTCGACTGACCTCAGGTTGGTCTGTTGGACTGCAAGAGCTTCGAATGACCAAGGACGGCGAAACACTGGACTCACGACTCACGTCTTCCAGTGAAGAGGAGATCACCGCTTTTCATTCGATCCAGGACCAAGATACCACAGTCTCGGCCAGAGCGGCTGCCTCGCAGCCATTTGTACTCCATCCTGAATCGATGGCACGTCCCACAGCGTTGTCGTATTCTCATCCTTACCTTTTAGCTTCCCTACCTGACAACACCTTGATGACATACTTGGTCACGTCGAATGCGGACAAGCTTGAGATCGCCCCTGGTCGAAGACTTTGGGGCCATACATCTTCCGTATCTGGAGTGCGGGTGGGTGATCGAGGAAAAGCGGTTTCCGTAAGCCGACAGGGGGACGAAATTCGAGTGTGGGAGCTGGAAGATTTACTATCGTCGTCATTTCAGCAAAGAACCAGCGTTTGTATACAGCCGGAGAATCCAGATCTGGGAATCATCGCTGATGCCATCCGACGCCGAGGGGATGGGCTTAGCTTAGCCTGTGGTGAGATGGAAGTGGAACAGGCAACCTGGAGAAAGTGGATAGGGTTCGATGAGGAGCAGGTCGTGGTTTTGGGAGAACGGTGGAGACGGCAAATATTGTCATGTTACGATTTTACCTGAGAGCTACATAGAGATATAGACTCAAGACGAGGCAATATGACAGAGCCATGTGCATACGTAGCAGGCGGGCGACGGCAAGTGCTGCAGCTGGCCATTCATCAATTAGCACGTACGCTGCAGCCGGTGATATCATCTTGCCAGACCCTGCATGCTGGAAACGGCACTGGGAATTACTGGGCCTGCAGTGGGGCCTGGTAGAACCGCCACTGTTGCGGTGTGACAGCGCCAACAATGCCGGCAATTTCAGACTTTCTGTTTACTACGTGCTGCTGATTTGCCAGAGTGCCGGGTTTAATCTTCCGGTGGTTATGTAGGTAGTAGGAACTTTTCTGGCCGGACATTTAGGTGTGCTTTAGGTGTGCTTTAGGTGTGCTGTAGGTGTGCTTTAGGCGTGCTTGCAGGCATCGGCCCGCCTATGAGGCCGAAGCTTGGACACCCGAGGAACGCACAACTCGCAAATCAATTTTTGCTCCACACCCAAAATCTCGACTAGCGCATCCGAAAAACCAGCGTCACCCGCACCCCTCTCTTTTCCTCGTACACACTGCTCCCTGCTTCGAAACTTCTCCTTTCTCCAGCTCACCAGAAAAGGTGCTCTTCGCAAGTTCAGAGACTATCTTCACGAAAGCGCGTTGGTCGATATCCAATTCACCCAACCTATCTTCCCTTCTCGGTATGTTTCGTCCTGCATTATGCAATTATCAACCCCAGGACCTTCACTCAATTCAGTTTGGGCACTGACTGAGCAACCCTTTACAGAGCAGGAACTTCAGTCCTTAAAGGTTGACACTCCCATCATGGACTACCAAGGTGGAGGCGGCCAGTCTCGCGGCTGCTTCAACTGTAAGTTCAGCTCTTCTCACATTCTTGACTCCAGTCCGCACATCAATTCTCCTGGGCCCTACCATGGACTGGAGCGAGCTACCGATGGAACCGTGGCTGGGACATCTTTGAGCTTGTGGATACCTTGTGCTTCGCGGCACTTGTCTAGCAGCATTATGGTTGTCACTAGAGCGAATGGTCGCGCCGATCTTCAATGATCCGCCCTTCACTTCGCTTTCAGCCAAGCTCGAGGCTTCTGAGCGGGTGTCTGCTTGTTGAAGAGCTATTCGTTGTGGCCCAATACTTCTATAAGGTTGTTGACTGAACTACGTTACTTACTTGTCGAACAGGCAACTCGCTGGAGCATCAGGTAACATTCAATGGAACCTGATCAGGTCAAAGCATTAACCATACAAGGCCCGTGATTGTCCCACCAAAGGAAACCCGAAGTGGTAAGTTTACGATCCTGGGTCATAAGATTCGCAGCTAAGCTGACATTCTTCAGCTACAACTGTGGTGGTGAGCTCTTCCGACTTGCTGCGTTTCCTGTAAGACAAGCTCACGTGATCAATAGGTGAGGGCCACGTCTCCCGCGAATGTACCCAAGCGGCAAAACCCAAGTCCTGCTACCGATGCGGCCAAGAAGGTCACGTCTCCCGCGAATGCCCAAACCAAGAGTCTAATGGTGGTGGCTGGGGTTCCGGGGGTGGCGGCGGCGGCGGATACTCTGGCGGTGGCGGAGGACAAGAATGCTACAAATGTGGTAAAGTTGGACACATCGCTCGCAACTGCAACGAAGGTGGAGGAGGTTACCAGGGTGGTCGCGGTGGGGGTGGCTATGGCGGAGGCTACGGCGGCGGTTATGGCGGTGGTCGAGGAGGCGGTGGTGGTCAAACTTGCTACACCTGTGGTGGATTTGGACACATGTCACGTGATTGTACCCAAGGCCAGAAGTGCTACAACTGTGAGTGGCTCTCCTCGGCGAGATTCAAAATGAACACTGACAATGCTTTAGGTGGCGAAGTTGGTCATCTCTCCCGCGACTGCCCGTCTGAACCCTCGAGCGAGCGCGTCTGCTACAAGTGCAAGCAGCCCGGCCACGTCCAGGCGTCTTGCCCCAACTAAACCCCATATTACGATGATTGGCATAAACTCGATACCCACTTTCCTTGAATGATCAGCTTGGATCATTCGCACATGGCATTTGCAGCTGGAACAAGCCATGCATGCTTCTCCATTGCGAGCTGATGATATGGCTTTAAGATGACTCTATTGCCGAAAATAGGCCTTTTCTTGACCTTGGTACCGAAGTGACGGACAAGTTGGGATGGGATATGGATCTGAAACAAGTCGAAGAGAGGAACGACTCCTAATAAGAAACCATGATGTTGTTCCTCCTGGGATGGTTGTCGAGGTCCAGTCATCTTGACCAGACGGCTCGAGAATGAGTCGACCAGATTGCTTCTTTTGCCCCTTATGATGATGAATATGAGAGAGGCGGACAGCTGACACCAGTCATGCTGTCTGTTGGATTGTGAATGCTGAATTCTGTGAGTCTGCTGCCGAAGAGGTGTATATTAGTAGTCCAGAAGATTGTGAAGCTGTTGTGTCTCAAGCAGGCGCTTTGATGAGATACACAGTACATTGGATTGGCTGGAACATCTATCGCTGCACTGGCGCTCATTGCTTCTAGCTTGTCATCGTGGAGAGGCTGAGCTTGACTCGTACACTAGCTTCAATAGTTTATATGTCGTCCAGTCGTCTCAAGTCGTTACAGCTCTGCTTCCGATCATAGCGTCAGTGGAAGGGCAAGGCCTCTGTGTGTCCAGTAACTTAGTCCCACCGCTTGATGGGGACAGCAATGCTCAAGTCTCCGTGCCCCGTATACTCCAGTAGAGGATTGAGCCGATGTCGATCCTGGTGAGGCAGTACCGGACCAAGTACGACTACTACAACTTGAATTAGCAGTCATCAATTACGTAGTGTGCTTCCGCCCGCTTCAGGTCGGGCGGAATGGTCCGCCGGGCTCCACCAGTCCCAGTCCACTAACTACGAGTACTAGTACAGGTACTAACTAGTTAGTACAAATACTAGCACTTAGAGCCGGAGATCAGAGGGATTAATTGACCGTTGCATGCCTGGATTAGCAACCCTGCGGGCGGGATTCTCAAGCATCCGCCCTCTCTGCTTCGTATATATAAACAATATATAATTAACGCAGCACTTTCCCTCCGTCCCAGGGTAGAAGCATTAGCGATCACCACCATTCAATACTGAAGAGGGCTGAATATGTCCAGTCTCATATCTGATCACCAGCGTTTCACTTGTGGGATTTCGGGTCCCGTGCCGTGCCGGTGATGGAGGAGTATTGTGCGAAGAGGTATGGGGCGCAGCGGGAGGAGGTTAAGAGGAAGGTGCCGTATAAACTTATCCCGTGGGTTTACCAGTACGTTGGATTCTGGGTCTGCTGGGTTGGGCGCCCAGGGTGGTCTTGTTGGTGGTGGAGGAGCGGATTTTGGTCTGGATGTTCTCTCTCGGGTTACAGAGACGACATTTCAGCATGCACAAGGGAAGGAGGAGGCAAAGCAAACATGAACGCGAGTTTTGCTCTCTTGACATCCGAAACCCACCAACAAGATCTGGCCATCTGGAATTAAGTTAGTAAACCAAGTCAAGTCCTGCCTGGCCAAAGATAAATTCCAACTCCAGCTCCAGCTCCAATTCCCAACCGATTGTCTCTCCCCTTCTAACCCCAATCGCTGAATTCCCTCGCTCACTCGCCCTGGGAACGCAGATCGTGCGCCTTTCCAAACAACTGCTAACCTACATCCAATCACCCTTCCTCCTCCGGGACCTCACACCATCCTCACAGATGAACAAAATCCCCTAAACCTCCCAGACCAGCACGAGGCGAAACCAGGGTACTTTTATCCATCAATTCAAACAAAGCAAACCGGGGCCCCGATTTGCCTTGTTTGACTGATTTTTCAAGTCGAGTCAAATCTTAGTAAGCAATATATTACTAGGATTTACCACGGATTCTTGCCAGATCAAGTGTCCGCCAAGACTATTATTCTATTAAAAATATTCTTGATTTAGTATCTCAAAATAAGAGACTTTTCTGTCAAGACTTCATTTTAATTAATCTTTGACGAAAGCACTGGTTTGATTTGATTTGCCAAGCATTTGATTTGATGGACACACCGTGACTGACGAAAACGGGGGTAGGGACTGGCGGTTTTTCTGGCTTTGTTCACTGCGTGTCGCTTTCTGGAGTTTCTTCTTCGCTATGCACTGAAAAGAAAATGGGTGGAGGTTTGGAGTGCTCTTCGATTCTGTTTTATCCCTCACACGGAGGCATTGTGGCGAGTACAGATTCATTTTCACCTATTCTTCTCGTGTATCCCTTCCCTCTGCCGTGAGATGGGACAAGGAAGTTCAATCTCAATTTAATTATTATGAATATAGGGCGCTTCGATTCCCATCATGTGCGTCCTTAGCGCTTTTTGTCTTCTCGAGTCAGAACGGTTACCTTACCTGTGACCGTACCAAACGCCAGTAGGTATTAGTGGTTTTTCTGCTTCGCCGCCCTCCTTTCCGCAATAGTGTAGAAGAGACTCCCATCGTAGACGCGTCTGAGATCCTCCTTCTTCATCTCTCCATCTTCCGGCCAGAGCATCAGATACGTAGCTCCCCCTATAACACCACAAGTCAGCTACCTCAGACACCAAAATAGAAGATTCGCGCTCCAAGGGTGAAGGTGCCATACATTCAGCAAAGGCATTCGCCCACCCAAACGGATCGCCATGCAACCTCTGCCCCTTCAAGGCATTCCACAAGTCCCAAAACGACAGCGTATCCTTGCCGGGCTGCGCATACTTGGCGAATATATCCTCGAATTTCTGCGGGATGAAGCGGCCTTCGTTGTCGTAGGTATCGGTATCGCTGCCGTGTTTGGTTTTGTGGATGTTGGCGCTGTAGATGCGGAAGAGCGGGTCGGGGAGGTAGGTGGGCTGGGTGGGGTAGGAGAATTGAGCGTGGATGACGATGGCGGCGATGGTCGAGAGGACCCAGTTGAAGCCGAGTTTGTGGAGGCCGATCAGCGTGTCGAGTGGCCAGATCACGCCGTCACGGTCGGGATCAAAGAAATCGACGTGTTGTTGCAGGACCTGGATTGATAGGTCAGGGTGAGAACCTGGGTGGTCGGCTCGACAAGGGGAACTGAGCCACGAACTGTTTGGTGCTGATGGCGTGCTGCCCAATCGTCTTCTTTTGTCCCATCGGGATGCTCTGCTGAGGCAGCAACGTTCGCGCGTGCGGTGCCTGGACGGGTGAGTTGCAATCGTGATCAGGATTCCAGTTTCTGCTACTGACCTGCATGCTCAAGGCGCGTTTTGGTAGCATCGGGAACGAATGGCAGCCGTTGCTGGGTGACTAGGACTTCAGATATAGTGCGGGTAAATCCGTATTCAGACTCATCGTCGACTGTATCACGCTCGTCTCTATTCAACAGTTTTGGAGGGCTCGCATCCAAGATGCGGCCGGGTGCCATATTTCTCTCCACTCTCTCAGGTCTGGTGGGAAGAAGAAGTGTACTAATCGAAGAATCCGGAGTGACGAGATATACTCAACTCGTGCATGCCTCAACTCAAACAAACGAAAAGGTTAAATGCTGACGTAAAGAGTAGGTGACCTCATCGATTTCATCGTCTTGCATGAGATAGTTGCACAGCAGCAGCAGCAGCGTATCATTGGATTTGTACATAGTCAGACCGACTTGGTAGAGTTATTTCGAGGCGTGATTCATGTATCATGCCCGAGGGTCTCTTTGACAACGAGGTCTGGTTGGGATAGTTCTACGTAGTATGCTATGGATGGATGCGGGAGCAAGATCCGGCGAGCCATTAGCCGACATTTAGCCAGTCTGCTTCTTCAGCTTCGGCCTATAATACACCCTGTGTAGTACGAGGTGTCCGCCAAGAAGTAATGAAATGCTAGATTTGACGGTGATGTAAGATACAGCATCTCGTGTTTTTTTTCACCAAATTTCTGGGTGTTTTAGTATTAATTACATGTCTAATACACCACTCAATTTGCATACTTCTCATCCACAAAAAGATCGAAGAGACATACGTAAGAGCACATCAAATAGGATAAAGAACCTCTTGAGCGCCCTGGGGCCGTCTATGAGGCATCTTTGAAGAAATAACCCCAAGAATTTGTGCGACATAGCTCTAACAAGGAGAGCACAAGTTCAGCTCCAACGGAGAGAATCTAGGCATCCGATTCAGTCAAATAACCCCGTCGACACATTATACCTTCTAGGGCAAAATCCCATTACTTTTTGTCAACCTGCTGTGCAGAGTACGTAGAGAAGCAAGTTGATCGACAGCTAGGGGGGTAGAGAGCGTAGATCTAAGTACAATTGGCTGTGCCATGCTCTGTAAAGCGAAATTAGAAGCGAAATTGCAGTAGAACTTAACCAATCAAAAGCGGGCGATACTAGTCCGCAGGGATAACGCATATCAGACCTGACCAATAGGCCCTCTCAGAAGATCAACACTTCTGCACCGCACCTCGTACACCATGTACATCTGCTACATACGTCTTCACCAGCGCTTATAGTCCACTCTAATCGATGCCTACCATGTACTGTACGTTTTGAGGCCTATTCGCCGTCGGTGACTCAAGCAGTATCATACACCGTCTACTCTCCTTGCCCGTGCCCCATTGTCAGACTTGCCTTCCCTTCCGTCGTGATCAAGGCGACAACCAACAGGCCCCATCATCTAGTCAGGGATCTGGCAGACGAGCCAATGAACCAAGTCGCGACAAGCCAGCGCATCCTCAAAGCTGCAATGTCCCCTTCCATTCTGGATCCTCCGTCCAAGCCGGCACAATGACAGATTCTTCAGTGACTTTCCCCCTTCCACTGGCTCATTGAATCTCTCCAGAAGATGGCTGTCAACGACAACGGAATGGATCCACCGCAATGCAGACAAGTCGCTGCTACCACCATGCATGACGACAACGGTCTCCGGTCCGACGAATCTCCATACCTGCTCTCTCGCGGCATCTCGACCCCAGATGCAAGATGCCGAGTTCTCTGCATTGCGCATGGCTGCCGCCGTCACTCCGGAGTATCTGGTGTTGTAGTGCGCCATGGGCACATCTGGTCTGACCAACGAATCAATCAGCTTCTCACCGGTGAAGAAGTCGACCACTGTCAGTCGGATCAGCTCCGTTTCTCCTGATTTCGCTGTACCCATTTCACAGTCCAACGCCACCGCCTTTCGCTTGGCTGCCGTACGGAGGAAGTCTCCGAGTCTTTGTTTCTGACGTCTCGGACGCGGTGTCAGATACTGCTTTTCATCGAGACGCTCTGGTTCTGGGGTCGGATGAAACATCCACTCGCGTTCGAGTTCGCCTTTTGAATAGCTTTGCGCTGTATGGTATTGGTGAGCGGCACAACCCTCGGCGGCAACATGCTGCTGGCAACATGAAAAATGCTACACCCTTTTCTCAGCTTCAGATGCGGTGCAGGAACTTTAGGCGATTACCTTTCCATACACTCTGCCAGGATGAAAACGACATGCTAGTTTGGGGGGATTCTTGGCTTCTTCTACCTGAACATCGGCCACGGCTTGTGCGAGAGCCTCTAATGCTCCGTCCGCCAAGCCTTTGTCGATATTTCTGTCGGCTGGGTTTGGCGGACAAGGGGATGCCTTATTTTCCTTTCTGATGATATCTGGCTTGCCAACATTTTGTGTCGGCTTGGCCTTCACTTTCTTTGGTTTTGCAACACGTGCTGAGATATGGTTAGGTAAGAGCTAGGTCAGGTGTGGAGGGACTTTCGCACCACCGCAATATACGCATCGTTTCTTCGACTCAATCACCCCAGGCTCAAGAGGCTGTACCACATAACCGGCGGATCGTAGCACCTTCTCCGGTTCGACAAGGAGCTGTATTTTCTCCAGATAGAGCGGTGTCTCTTCAATGGTCGACCACATGGCTCTCGCAGATTGTTTTTCACGACCTGTTGCTGCTACTTCGGTAGTTGGAGGTGAAATGAGAAGTTCATGTTTAGCTCGCTGATGGAATTTGGAAGAATTTGTCTAGAAAACACTCTTTCATTCTGTGGCGCGGATAACCGCTTCCCTCCTTTACACTGTGAGGTGCCGGATCACATACTATTCCGTGTCCACCACTGCAGATTTGGACAAAGCAATGGCCCATTCGATCACATTGCTAATGCTACATGCCGAATAATCTCATCAGCAGAATAGCTAAAAGTATCATTCCCGTGCCTCTATCCAATCCTCACCCATGGCGCACTCATAGAGTAGCACTCATCAATCGATCCTTCCAAGTCCCCATCATCAATAATCAATAAATTCCCGATTCGACTTGACCACCTTGAATTGGTACCAGCTCCATCGTCACATCCGCACAGCTGCCAGGGATCGGGTACGCGAAGTATGCATACCTCCAAAACAGCTGTGGCACCCCGTGGATCCAGTCACAAGCTATTGCATAGAGGAATCAGTCATACATGCTTAAGAAAGAGTACCAGAGCCACGAGTGGAGACACGTACCCATCCATCCCCCATATCCTGCATCCCTGTCGCCCCATTGAAGAGTGTTGTCTCCAATCCTGAACCCCGCGGTACCCTGGCCGAACCTGATGGTCACGGGTTCCCAAGCTAGGATCATCAGATCAGTTTAAACTATATTTCTCACTCCGTTTCTCTGCCTCAACCCGCGGACGCCCAAGGAGAAACCTCAATCAAAGTTGGTCGAAGGTGGTGCATGGCAACTCACCGTCATGATCAGTATCCAGGCCTAGATCCAGACCCCATGTATGCGCAGGGTCCAAGTTGAAATACTGATGCGTGTCATTGAAATAGCCTTGGTTGGCGTTGGTGATGTTCGAGTTCAGGATCACGTCGTTGACACCGAAGCTTGTCTGGGATGCAATGGCGAAGAGGCCGTTCTTGTCGCTCGAAGAGTCCAGAGTGCGGGTTTGGAGGTAGTACGCCGGGGGCGTGTCTTGGCGGGGAAGAAGAGCGGAGGCCAGGACGGGTTGCATGATGAGGAGAGAGGAGCCAAGGGACAGGACAGCAGCAGCAGAGAGGTGCATATTGCAAAGTGGTTGATGAGTACGGCTGGGTGGCCGGATTGCTTGGGTCCCGAGTAGAGATAACGTCGCTGCGACTGACCTCAAATGAGAAGAAGAATGGAGAGCGATCTGGTGAATGAGAAAAGCAAGTCCATAAGGTGAGAAATGGAACGAATTTATGGGCACCGGCGAGGAAAGATATACCAAAACAAGAAGGAAGGTACGATGCACTCTCCACTGTGCAACCGTAGTCATGCTCAACGCCTCAATTACAAATCCGGCTCCTCGCATAACCACCGTGGAGTCCTACATCTCGTCACTGACACCACACCTTCATCAAATCTTGACCGCGACCAAAGTCCCACTTCAAGCCAGGCGCTCTCGGCAGAAACTGTCATACTGTGTACCCCTGCACGAGAGCCTCGAGCTACAGCTTCAAGTGATGGCGGGTAGTACAGAGATGCGGAACCGGCAGGGAACCGGGGACCGGATGAGTGCCGCAATGCTCGGCAGTTGAGGAATAGAACAGGCAACTTTACGTCTGACCCTGAGATGGATGGCGGACAGAAAAGATCTACCTTGAGGTTTATGGACGGTGGGTGCAGGCAGCTCATGTCCTGTACCAGAGATTTCGTGTTTCCCGTACAAGACTCAGGTACATCTGGGGGAATTGGATTAAAAATCATAGAAGACGGTTTGATGGAAGAAGCATAGTAATCAAAGAGCTTTTGTGGGCTTGGCACACCAATTTCTCTTGAAGGAGAGCACAATGCAGTACTGGTAGAGAGAAACAGCTGCAGCTACGCACTGATGTATACTGTATCACGAATGACAACTTCTAAATTGGTCATGATTCAGATGATCTCCGTGCTCGGGTGCATACATGTTAAACCACAATAAACCCATTCCGACGTCAAAAGTAGACAAACCAACTATTGTTCAATCAACGCCTTCCCTTTTCCATCTCCATTGACATCTTCGTCGTCCGCTGTTGGCGCCCGCAAGTGCAGGGGCCAACAGATCGCCATCATATCTTGTAGGCACAGCGGTATTAGTCGCCATTTTGTTTCTGCCACCAACCCTGGACTCTGGCAATTTGACGGCCTTGGGCTTCCACCCGTTCGATCTGGTGAATTGGCATTGGTTTTTCCATCATTCGGAGAGCTCGCTTGCAGGCTTCCTCTACCTGTCTTCTTCTTTTTCCTCTCAATCTTTTCAGGCAAAGGGACTTGCTCGTACACCGAGCAACTTATAACATGACACCATTTCTGAATGACAGCTATTGCGTGGTCTTCCTTGACATCGAACCATTCGCCATGGCCGTGGCATTTCGGATCAGAACCCGGACATTGTTCTAACTTCATTGCATACTCCACGAGCTCTGCGTGGATTAAGCGCTCAACACGGTGAGCGTGATCGACGGGGATGAGGTCTTGCCCTCCCAGGGGATATATCAGCTTGTATTCTCTATAGCACCTCTTGTGCTGCTTCATCCTATCAATGATGTCCTTGGTTACACCAATTCTCACATAGTTCTTTGCTCGACTGTCCTTGGCCTTGAAGGCGTAAATGTAGCCGCTCGGTATCTGTTGAACTGTTAAATCTGGGCAAAACGCTTGCACAATGTAGAAAAATGCTGGTAACATCATTTCTCTGTTTTTTGTGATGACCCTTTTCCAAACTGCATCCACAGGGCCTGGAGATGGAGTCCTGATCAGAGCTGTCGATCCAGATCTGAAATGTCCCGCTGTCTCTGGTAGCAGGCTGCTAATCAGAGCGCTTGATATTGGTCCGAGCTTCCTCTCCGGTGAGGCACTTTTCGATCTATGACTGAAAGAGTCGTCCTCGTTGTCGGATTCTTCCTTGATTGGTGAAGAGCTACCAAAATAGTCACCATCTTCCACCGTAGGGTAAGGTCGTGTACTGATCTTTTGTAGGGGCATGTATGGAGCTATTTGTGATGATGCAGAAGAATGGCGGTGAGAGTCTTCCTCACTAGAAATTGTATCGGGACGATGCACCATGATTTTTGGCGAAGCCAACCGCAGGGTGTATGATGCTGAACTGTTCGTGATGGGCGCAGACGAGTCTGAACCGTGGAGTCTTTGAAGCTCAGAGAGTTGCGGGCCTCGAATGTCTGTTTCCTGCATACTAGCGGACTGGGTGCTATCCTTCTCCAAAGTGCGAACCCGCGTCTTCTGCCGAGAAGGTGTCATGAACTTCTTACTTTCCACTAAGGGGCCAGTCCTGGGTATATCACTGGAAGTGCGATTGCGCAAGCGTTGGCTACGCCGAAGCGGCGGTCGATGGACAATTCCGTCAGACAGATGGACCTGTCCATCGAATTGAGAACATTGGGCAGAATAGTTGCTCCGTGCAGACACGGTAGCTGGGAGCCCTGCTTCTTGAGCGGGAGCTGATGAGGCAGCTGCGCAAAGCTTGGAAAGAAACGAGTCCTCAGTGGATACTGTGGTTGATTTTTGGGGCTGGCTGGTTTTCTCAGTCGGACGTGTTGAACGTGCCTCATTGGCAGGTGGTGGACTCAACGCGTGAATCGATCTGGAGGAGTCTAACCACGCATTCGCATGTGGACTCGGAGCCGGTTGCTTCACTCTGAAACCAAAAATACCAGTCTTCGAAGATCCCTGCCCTGAGGCTGTGTTGGTGGTTGTACTCGACTTTGTCGCTGTAGCTGCTCCTGCATTGCGCCTAGTCTCTATTTCCAGCTTCTCCTCGAGGTCTGTTGCTAGCTCCCCTAAGGTAGCTGGGTTTAATGTTCCGCTGCTTTTGAATGTCTTCCGCAAGTCAAACAAGGGTCTATCCCTGTCAACAATCCTTTCTTCTGTGCTTCCAGGCCATGCTCTGCCGTCGGTGTCTTCCACTCCAACCCCGAAGAGGGAAGCGGCTTGACCCTGGACTTGTTTCTCAGACGCTGGAGGGTTGCGGTTGACTGGAACTGAGTTCTTTTGGGAAACTGTCGAATCCGAGCAATCTGAGCCAGAAGGTCGTTTCCCTCCTTCGGTCCTCAAGCGGGGATCGTTCCATGGAAAGGTGACTGTTGCCTTTTTCTTGTAGTGCATACTTCAAATTTAGTGACCTTTGTTAGACACAAGAATCTGACGAGAAAGGTTCCTTGACTCAAAAATATGTAGACAGGCTCTTGAATTATCATATGAGGTTTGGGGACGAAAAGTAGAACGACCTTGACAATGATAAAATCACGTACGACAGCTTCAGGCTCAGTTCTGGAGACTTATATAAACGTGAGCCAGACAACTATCGACGGAGTATCAATCTTCGGCCCCAGCCCCCTCCTCCAAGCCATTCCAAAAGGATACCAAATACCAGGTAGAGAGCATTGCCGAGTGAGCACTTGTCAGCCTGGAGGTTTCATGTTCCATGCAGGGGATGTGTAATGATCGAAAGTCTGAGTCTCCTTTTGGACTTGTAAGAAAAGCCCACCGTGATAAGATCAAGGTGAGTTCTTCGCGATTTTCGAGTTGCCCAACACCAGCAATGCTTTCCAGCTTCCATCATTCCTCTCGTTAGCGACCCAAGGAATTGGCTGTCGCTTGATGATCGATTGCTCGATATAGCCGTGGATGGGTGAATGTTCTTAGTACCGTGTATCGCCTTGTCTCACCATCAGTGGCGCAGATATATGCAGGAGTATCACAGTGGGGATATTAGCTTTGTATGCGCGTGTGCGGCACAGCAAGGTTGAAGCTCGCCATAGCCACAGCCTTCAAATGGGGGCTTGGGGACTTCCAGCTGAGAACTAGACTGCTTGATCGCCTCTGTCTTCCATGATTCACCAGCTGGACCGGGGTCTCACTTCTTACCCTTCCTCACGACAGGACAATCGCAATGGTGTCGATTGAGAGGGCAACCAAAAGCAGACAATAAAACAAGTCTAATGACTCGGTCAGAACCACTCTTCCCTACAAGGCAGTCTCTGGCATCTGAGCTACTAGAAATGACTCGTTGGACCCTAACAAGCAGCAAGACTGAGCGTCAATCAACCTTCTATCGAGCTTGCAAGTGCTGACTAAGCAGAGCCGGCTCAGGCGTGCACTCTCGCCCCCACCGTTGTCGGTATCCTAACCGACTACTTCGTATTGTATGTACGTGATATCTTTTGGCTCATTCTGCACAACTGAATTAGTGCTTGCTCGTATTTTCTTTCAAATAGAGCTAAACTGATAGTTGATAGTATCCCCTCCGTGCCCGATGCCTCAATTAGCGCGTTTGGTGAAATTTAAGCTCAAATAAGGTCGCTCACAGGACATCGTCTAACCAGCATTCAATGAATATATTATCAGACAAATCATTTGACAAGTGAGTTAAAGCTTTGCTCTTGAAGACACTTATTCCCGAATATCTATCAAAGGCGTTCGAGCAAGCAAAAGTTGTAGCAACATCGAAATAAGGAGATCGACGACGCTAATTGAGGCATTCTACACCCCCTGTTCGGGCACGGAGGGGATACGCTCACAGCACGGAACACTCCGCCCCGAATGGTTATTGATTGCCAGTGGCGGGCATTTATTATCGGAGTTGTTGGAGTTCGCAATCAGGGGCCAGAGGAATGATCTTTTAGGAAATCAAATATATGAGTAGCAGGGAACATGAGAGTACTAAAGGGCATACTGTTCAATATCCTTGTTTCGAATGAATTACCAAGGGTTGGCAATGCTATTAAAACTTCAAGTTAGCAGGAGAAGGCCCTCTGAAAACCGTTAGTTATGCCCAAATTAACATCAATGTGTGCTTAGTATCAGCCTAGCCGTGATGTGGTCTAGGTTACACATAATTATGCAGCTAAACATCTGAAATCTAACAGGATTATATGATTCCAGATGCCATTTTCTTAAAATGAGAGCCAGATTATGGCTAAATTATGGTCATTTGAGCCTCCTGACCATCCTTAAAATAATAATTAATTCACTAAGGACCGATACCACGTCATTTTTCACAGCCCATCCCTTGGTAAGAAGTTCTACCACCACGATCCTTGGCAGAATTGCAAGTGAGGGTATGACGTTTTGCTCTACTTCGTAATTTGATTACCAATCAGGTATCAGAGACTCTTTCCTGTACTTAATCGCAGAAAGAGTACCAATCTTCCGGTCGATGCTGAGTACATTGAGACTGATTACAGCCTCCAAGGCATCATACCGTCCTCGCTGTATTGCATGCTCATTCCCGTCAGTCCTGTTCTCTTCCGCTGTTTTACCTGAGCGCCGGTGGCTAGCCAGCATGGCAGGCTTAGATGTGAAGATTCCGTTGATGAAAATGCCTGACGGCTTTTCCATACCTATGGTCGGTCTGATATCCTGGCATCGTCGTCGACGAGGCGCCTCGATCTGATGCCCCTTGTCAACTGTGATTGTGGTTGACAATTCTCAGCTTGGATATGGCACCGGCACAGCCTGGTACAAAAAAGATGCCAGCTCTTCCATGGATAAGTCCCTCATCGAAGCAACGACCAAAGCAGCGCAACTCGGTTACGTTCATCTCGATGGCGCCGAAATATACAACACCGAACCAGAACTTGGGGCAGCGATCAAAGCCAGCAAGATACCGCGGGACAAGCTCTTCGTCACCACCAAAGTTACAACGAACATCAAAGACATCCCTGCAGCAATAGACGGAAGTCTTAAGAAATTAGGATTGGACTATGTGGATCTCTACCTCATCCACGAACCATTCTTTGCCCAGTCCGACGAGGAACTCCAACAGAAATGGCGAGATATGGAAGGGGTGAAGAAGAGCGGAAAAGCCCGCTCCATCGGCGTTTCGAATTATTACAAGCACCATCTCGAAGCAACATTGAAAACCGCAATCGACCCTCCAGCAATAAATCAAATCGAGTACCATCCTTACCTCCAACACGGCGATCTGATATCATATCACCTCCAGAAGAACATCGCCATCTCCGCCTACGGACCCCTAACCCCAGTAACCAAAGCCCAAGACGGCCCACTAACCGACTACCTAGACAGACTAGCCCACAAATACGCCGTCAGTCCTGCCGAAATCCTACTGAGGTGGTGCTTGGATCAGGACATTGTAGCCATCACGACAACGAGCAAAGAGCAAAGAATGAGCGACTACCTGCGAGCGCTGACATTCAAGCTCACACCGAAGGAAGTGCGGGAGATCTCGGACCTCGGCAAGACATATCATTATCGCGCATTCTGGAAGAAGAAGTTCGCCGAGAACGATCGGTCGTGAGAAAGAATACTATAATTACCACCAATGTGATTGGGCAGTGGGGGTGCACGCACGAAAAGCTTCGATGGGGAACCTATTGAGCATTGACGGACTGCCTGCAGTGTGAATATGAATATGAATTACAGTTGCATTCTCAGCCAAGCGAAGCCTCAGCATGACTGGGGTTCACTTGCGCCTTGCTTCTTGGGAGTGCCCCACCTGTGCGGCTTTCATCATCTTTAAGTACAACATGCAGAATCAAGCGGCAATACGGTGCCTGTATTGCCCATTACGCAGATGACAAGTATACACTGATACATCATGACCAAAAAAACAACGCATAAATCACCAACAGGATCAACCCATATCATTAAATGAAATTCCATCTCCGCAAGCCCAGTCAGGGTAACCCATCGAGCTGACCCAAAGAAAACCCATTGCTTTACCCCATATCACCTCCACTCCACCTATCCGCTACCCGCGCTAGACATAAAGAGGAGATAAGGACAAAGAAAGACAGGAGAAATTCCTACCCACCCAACCCTTCACCGGCTGTTACCCATACAGTATCAAATCCTCTCTTTCGCAGGGTATCCATCAAATCAAACAAAGCAAATCGAGGCCCTGATTTGCTTTGATTGGCTGATTTGTCAGATCGAGTTAAATTTCAGTAAGCAATATATTTCCAGGGATTTACTGGAATTATCGTCCAGATCAAGTGTCCGCCAAGACCATAATTTTTCTATCGAAAATTTTCTCGATTTCAAAATACAAGATCTTTCTCTCAAGACTTCAGTGTTTGACTAGTTTGTCGAATCCACGGAGGCTGATTGGCTTTGACGAAAGCACCGATTTGATTTGATGGACATACTGCTCTTTCGTTCGTTCGTTCGCCCGGATTGTGTCCACCTTTCTGGCGTAAAGCGACCCAATTTATCATTGGCTGTCAGCCGCGCGGCGGATATAAGCTTATCATCTCCACCAACGAAAGGTCCACAGTTCCAACCTTAAGCCTTTTGAGGTCACATTAGTGACGGCTGTTGAGCCAATGATAAAATGGGTCATTTTATGCCAGAAAGGTGGATACTACTATATAAGAAAAAGAGAAAAGAGGAAGAAGAAAAAAGTCGAAACCCCCAGCCCCTTCTCTATCTCCGCCTATCTTTCTCTTCTCTTCCTACAGACCACTGCACCGATACACAACATAAACGTAAACATCTACGAGCGAATGGTAAAGTACTAACAACCAAATTCGCTACGCTACGCTAGCCATGCCTCGCGGAGGAGTATCCATCCCTCTTCCAGATCTAGGGTACTACCAGAGGTACCACCAGTAATGGAGGGAGGGTGGAGAGGGGGATCCAACACTCAAGTCCCGTCTCCTTCTTAGAGTAGAGCACAGAGTTTACCAGATGAATCCAGAAACCATGTGCGTCTCTTCTATCTTAATCTTATCGGACACCAAACTGTGCAGGAGAACTGCAAGTCCGTACAGTGTGCTCTTCAACAGCAGCAGCAGAATAGAGTCCCAGTCCCAGGATCAGGATCAGGATCAGGTATCCACTCGAAAAAAAAAAACCCCTCGTCAAGAGAACCAGTCAAGCATGACTCGATTGATAATCCAAAGAAACTCATATATCCTCTGCAACCCCTTCATCCTCACCGCTACCCGCTCCCTCCACCTGCACCTTCCCACTCCTACCGCCATTCATACTCTTCATCTCATACGCTTCACCATGACCATGTCGGCCCTCCATCTCCAGAACCCTCCTCCCACTCTCACTATTCTCCAAGAACTCCCTCAGCCGCTTCTTCCCCTCCTCCAGGGCTTGGGCACTCGCCGCGTTGGCCATGTTGATCATAGGACCCCACAGGTTGAGCGTGTAGGTAACGTACGCGCCGACACCGAGGAGGATCAGGAAGATGAAGTAGAGGGGATTCCTCAGCACTAAGATTCGAAGCAGATCAGCATTTTCATCGCAACAGAAGAACGAGGAAAGGGGCCGTTTGGCCAGGGGTAATAAATTGGTGCTTACCGGCAACGATCTCATTCCACCCCAACGCAAGCAGCAAACCATAAAAGTACAGCGGCACTTGAGTGATCCCACCAACAGCACTCCGTTTCGCCTCCACATACACCCCATCCGCCGCCTTCTTGAAGCGGACGACCAAGTCCTGACGTTTCGACTCATTCAGCATCGTCGTCTCCTCCTCCAAACTACCCGCTGCTTCATCTTCATCGACTCCACCAATCGGCACAAGATCCTCTTCATCCGCGCTCGTCGCCGCAGGAGGCGTATGTCCGATCCACTCATTCAGTGGCGGGGGGGCATGGGTCTCCGAATGCCGAAATTGGGCTAAGATAGGTATCAGACTTAATGTTGACTCTCTGGCCTTAGTATAAATGCCCTCAATATCGTCGGTAGGTCTCCAAATCCGCGGGACGCCCGCCTCATCGTAGCGAAACTTATCCTCAAAATTCTCTCGCAGTTTCAACAGCAAATTCCCCTCCATCATCTCCTCCTCGATCTTCGCCCTTAAAACCCCCCAGCTCTTGCGTCGTAACCGCCAAACACCGACCTCGACTTCCTCGGGTGAAGCGTCGAAAGACCGGGCACGGGTGCTGAAGCGTCGTTCTGCTTCCCGAACTGTCGTGGTGAAGAGGGTCCAAATCCGATCCCAGATTGCCTTTTCGGATGCTGGCTTCTCGGGTGAGTCAGGAGCACCTGACCCACCGCGTCCGGACCCTAGAGCATTGAATTCAAGGCCGACGGAGTCGTTCAGACGTGACCTAACCCAGCGTTCTACCCGGGTGGCTAGGCGACGCATCTCGTCGCGGCGGAGGCGGGTGGAGATTTCGTCCAGCTCTCGCTGGTACAGGGACATTTGCTGCGTGTAAGTGGACCAGGGCGCACCTTCAATCATGATGGCTTTGGCTTCACGCTCGAACTTAGCGAGTGCAATTTTCTTTTGCTCGGTGACAATCTCAGCAAAGTCGTAGGAGGCGCCTTTCTTTTGACCAGATTTGACGGCCGCTGTGACGGCGTCGGCGAAGTCGTTGACGCCTTGTTTGTGGGCTGCGGCGAGTTGGCCGGCGAAGAGCGCTTTCAGCCTGTTGTCAATTTTGGATTCGAGTTCGGTTCGTTTTCGTTGGTAGACGCCTTTGTGGTAGCGAGATGCCTCAGTTTCGAAAGCTTTGATTGTCTTTGAGCGAGCAGCACGCATCGCTGGGCCTAGGCCGCCTAGTATTTGCGGCTTCCCAGTTCGAGTACCTTCCACTTGCTTGTTTTCGAAGGGGACAATGGCTTCGTCGAAAGCGACAAGGACTTCTCGAGATATCTCATCGCAACGGAACTGTGCGAGAAGCTCTTGTTGGGTCGGAAGATCGAGATCCTTATTGTTCACAATCTGGTCCCAGATCCCCTCAGCGTAGTGGCTGAAACCATCGGCAGGAATTCGTCGATGATATTCTGGTAGGAAGACTCCGCCCTCGAACTCTCCCATAATGGCATCTCTCCTGCCATCACGATGTCCTTCTTTAAACCTCGTTGCCATCCTTGCCACTTCCTTCGTAAATTGCTCTGGTTGGTAAAGCTTATGCGGTAGTGCCGAAAATGCAAAATCGAAGTAGTCTTGTATCTGCGACTTGTCCATGCCCGGTGGTTTGGACAAACTCGCCCATATCCTTGTCAGGTCCTGCATCAGGGTGTTTCGCAGATTCTGTAGCGGCGTTGTTCCCAGGAAGTCTCTGATTACGAAGAATAACAGACTTCGGTGTGTTGATTTGCGGTCTTTCAAAAAGAGTTGTAGGTTGACCTCGAACACAGTTTTCAACAGCCCCATGTTTGCGCCCTGATATAATCCAACCTGATGCTCCCATATGTTGACGATGAGAACCTCACTTGTGGCGAGCGCGAAGAGTGCTGCCTTCCTCTCAAAGTCCTGGTCTTCACCACGTTCTCGACCGTCGGTGCCCTCAACGTCCATGACAAGGATATTATCTGCCATCTTTGCGTCTGCTGCTTGTGATGACTTGTTGTTTGATAGCCAGATTCCCTTCGTTGTCTGCCGTCTGTCGGATTCCTGCATGGTGCTGAATTGCGTGTTGAAGAGAGCATTGAGAAGGGTGGATTTTCCAGTTGATTGAGAGCCAAAGACGGATATCAGGTGATAATTGAAACCAGCGGAAGAGACACGGGTGAATTGGAGGTACTTCGAAAGATCTGAACTGTAAGAGATGTCAGAGACAGATGGCTGAGCACTTCGTCCACGCAAAAACGCTAGAAGAGAACGGACTTGAATTCTTTATCCTCATCAATAACCTGGATCCCATGTTCGAAACTGCCTTGGCCATTCTGTCCCGCAGACGCAAAGTGCCCATTGACCGCCATCTTGTCTGGCGCCGTCAAAGCTCTACCTATGCCACCGGGGCGAGATTTTGCGGATGAGACTGGAGGTAAAAGAGTGGAACTAGCCATGATGTACGTGGCGCGGAGGAATAGGCGAGTCCAGATGTTTTTAAATTTCGTAGACGTGACGTGGTGGGCAGTGGACAGGGGCCCAGGAGTTGCTGGGGCACAAATTAGTTGGTAGCTAAATCACAAGCACTGCCTGAAGAGGCTTGGTGGAGAAAAGGTTCATACTACGTACAACTCGAACATGGATTAAGGGCCAAAGGGGTTGTTGGATCTTCTTTTCTACCCTAAGAACGATCATGTGATAGTGCTCATTCCTATATCTTCGACCACCCCTTTGATCATCTGTCAAGGGCGTTCCGCGTCCTCGGCGCTTGATCACAGCAGCAAAACCAAAGGATTCAGAATGAGCTGTGGTGACTGCTATGCCCACAGACTTCGTTGAAAGACGGTCTTGTGAAGGCAAAGGCCTCCCCCACCTTGCCGATTATCTTGTCCCAAATGTATCCAGATGTATCCAAATGATATGTGAATCTAACACAGCGACTACCGGTGCCCATTTAAGCCATCATGCTCGTCAGCTATCAGTGTTCATCTTGACCTACTCTTCCATAGCCTCCCCTGCTCTCCGTGCGGCTGTCTTTCCTTGACCTACTCACCATCCTCCCGATCCAGCTACCAAGCCCTTCCCCAACCTCTGATTCTTTCCTTCTGCCCCGATCGTGAATAGGCCTCCCATTGTCTCCATACTCGACGGATGGTGGATTAATGTCGAGGCCAGGAATGGCGGCATCAGCACTGAATGCAGAAGGATTCATGTTTCGTCGGATATCTATTGAGTCTGGAGATCCAATGCCAAACAGAGATCCTCGTTCGGCTTGAGTGGCGGGTGTAGGCATGGCGGTGGTAGCATCGCCGAAGAGCGCATTCATATCCTCCAAGCGAACATTGGCGGTTTCGGGATAGAGGTAGTATACTGCAGTCAAGGTGTCAGCCTGTTGTGCTTATGCACAGGTGATAGATCAGAAACATACCAACCACAAATGAAACGGCGCAGAAGAATGCATGCACGAGGTACAATCTCCACTTTATAGCCGCCTGCAACACCGGCGTTACTTCTCCCACGAGCCAATTGAATGCCCAATTACTGGCTGTGCTCAGGCTTGCCCCTTTGGCGCGAATACTTAGAGGCAAGATTTCCGGTGGATAGAGCCAAGGAATTGGTCCCCAAGAGGCCCCAAATGCCGCGTTGTAGACCATAACGAATATAACAACCATGGTTGGGGTATAATGAACGTCGATAAAGATAAAGTACGAGACCAATGATAGCGAGATGATCATCGCAACGGCACCAGAGAGGAGAATAGGGCGACGTCCCCATCGATCAACCAGATACCATGGCGGTACCGTAGAGCCAAGATACGTGAAGGCGTTGATGCCGGTCATCAGGATTGCGTCTCGACCCACCCAGCCTGCGCTTTCAAAAACGAGCGGTGCGTAATAGGAAATGACGTTGATACCGTTGAGCTGTGCCAATGCCTGTGCTGACATGGCGATCAAGACACGTTTGTGGTATCGTCTGAACATATCTCCATAAGACCTCTCCCCTTCTTGCCGTTGCATCAAGACATTCATCTTGATTTCGCGATACTCCTGGCGAGCCTTCTCGTTATGAATGTCACCTCCTCCATACAGATTCGCAATGACCACGATGCCCTCCTCGTCGTGGTCATTATCGAGCAGCCACCGTGGCGATTCGCATATCACTAGTGAGCCAAACCCGAGCAAAGCTCCCATGATACACTGAAGAAGCAACGGCAGGCGCCAAGCATAATGGCTTTGGATGTAGCTGCAGAAGTAGTCGGTCCAGACACTGGCAGCATACCCAGCGACGTTGCCAGTAAACTCGATGCAGGCCAATTTGCCTCGATTGTGTGGAGGGCTAATCTCAGACTGATAAACAGGCACAATGGTGGACAGCGCACCAACACCGAGACCGGCCAGGATTCTACCAAGCAGCATCATGGGCATGGCGGTTGCACACGTCTGGCACGCGCCACCAACGAAGAAGACAATTGAACCGTACAAGATGGTTCTCCGGCGACCAATCATATCCCCTATGCGACCAACTATGAGCGAGGAGATGAACGCACCGATTTCGAGGATGGCAACCATGGTGCCGATCTCTGCTCGAGAAGGTCGGTTAAAATAATCTAGAAAGAATGAACCACTGCGGAACTCAGTAATCGACAACCACTTTCGTAATGTGCCTGCACGTACGTGATAATGCCCGACATAACGCCTTGATCATATCCAAACAAGAAAACTCCTAGCGACACGAACACGCTGGTAAGGAATCTGGAGCTGTGTCAGCTGCTTCAATATTTGCTGGACCAAGGTGCTTCATACAACAATGGCTTTCCCACAAGCCCCCTCCTTCTCGCCGTCTCTCTATCACCCGGAGCCATGATGTATGCGAAGTACTTCTCAAAGACGGAAATAGGCCGTTGAGCAGGCTCCGGGATACTGATAGCCTCTTTATCGATTCCAGGATGGGTGGTCTTCCTTTCTAAAGGGTCCTGATCTTGATAGTGTACTCGTTTCTTATTCCTTCCACCGTGGCCGTCGACAGTCCTGCCCTCGTGGTTGAGTGGTTGGAGCTGTATGCGCAAAGGGTCTTCCTCCTCGGCTAGTTGTTCGGCGATGTCACCGGTATCGCTCCAGAGGGAGAAGTCGTCAGTATCGTCGTTGGAGGAGAAGGAAGGCCGCCGGCTGCCCTCTTGAGTCGGTTGCTTCTCGCTCTCACTCAATAAGGCAGTAGAGTGTTGGTCGTCCAGGGAGGGCCGTACATGGGAGGATAAGGTCCGGAGGTGGATGATAGGGTCCGCTCGAGAGCGTGAGGGAGCAATGGTGCCGGTAATGTAGGGCTGACCAGAAGCAGCCCTATCGACTGAGGGTGAAGAGGAAAAGGATGGTCGGGGGACTTTTGGCGTTTGTGACTCTTCTGAGAGAGAGGACGTTGGGTTGGGAGTGTTTGGGATGCGGACCCGTCCAACCACAACTGATTAGGCACAGAAGACAAAATGCGTCGAATGATCTGCTAGATGATCGCGTGAAAAAGTGGATCATGCATGCAAAGAGGCATTAGATTTCTTCTCGACCTAGGAGACACGCTATCATGATGACTTACAGTATCCGACTTCGGGAAAGGGTCAGTTTGTCACCATGCCTGGCAAGTTAGAAATACGGAGTAATGGTTAAGCTTATTCGCCCGGCCCCCAACCAGAACCCCTGCACTTACTTGAGGAGGAGGCTGCGTGTGACAGGTTTCGTGTCTGTCTATCTATGCTAGTATTGTCATAAAAACTGGGATATATCCGCTAGAGTCACATTGACGGGTCTTCTCGTTTTCTGTGACGAGGTCTTATGATTCTGCACGCCGCTATTTTTGTCACCACATAACAGCCTAAGGCATCGGTCCGAAAACAGGGAAGAAAGTGATCACGTGGACACTTGATGGGATATGATATTTGCTTACCTCGTGGATTGCCCTCCTCGTTATCTTTTAAAAAATGGTCACAACGCCCTTACAAAAGCATTGACAAGATGTATGCATTACTCTCATCAATCTCTGTCCCGAGCTACCATTATTATATTAGGCACAAGAACGCTGTGCAGACAGCAGAGGGTTCATTCACCAACTAAATCATCGATCCACGATCTTCCAGCTATCAAACCACTTCAAATATCGCCATTGCTGATGGTTGCCTTGCATTCCAAAGACGATGTCCTTGAAAAGGACAAAGAGGCCGATGACAGCAGCGTAGAGTAAAATGTATACACTCCATCTCACCCTCCTTTCCAGCTTCTGTGTTGTCCAATCCACCACGAACCCTGCGGAAAGAATGGCAAAGTACAGGGCTGGGTAGTAGTGGTGTACGTACGTGACACGTGCCATTGCCATGAACGGCAGATAGTGGAGGAACCATCCGACAACAGGGTAAATGGCGGAATAGTGGATGAAATCGATGTCGTGCTGGCTCAGTTCTTCGTATCCGCGTTGCCAGCGTATAAGGTACCATAAGATTAACAAGGCGATAACGCCTAGCGAGGCGGTAGAACCCCAGTAAACAATAGGGTTGCCAAGCAGGAAATATTTGACGGTGTTGTCATCCCAAGAGCACATCCTAAGACCTACATTCAGAATCGGCCACTGCCAAAACTGCGATGCAAGATCATCCTGTTTGTCAGGGTCAGGAACCAACGCGTTGTTCGAAGTCATCATCGCCACATTGAGATGGATGAAGTCTCGAAGGAATGGAGACTTGTAGTTCTTCGCCTCGCCCGGTGGCACTGTTCATGTTAGCGGAGGATAGCAAATGTCTGGGTATCATCACATACACTTGTCATTCCAGTGCGCTTCAACATTCCAGTGCGTGTAGACGTCTTTAGGCCTGTTCTCCTTGACACACGTGGTTTCGATTTGTTTGAAACCCCACTGAGGTAAATTGACGTTGCCAGCTCTCAAATAACAGCCGAGGACAGTGTGCCGAAGCCTGAAAGCAGTGGTCAGAGTTCGAATCTTCGAGTAATCAGAAGACACCGCATCATTGACGACTTCGATCGTCCAATGATCCTTGTCATCACCAATCGTGGTATTGCCATAACAGGAGACTTCGTTGTCTGCCTTCGTTACTGGAGCTGCCACGGAGTGAGAATGCAAATTGCGTCCAGTTTGTGCGTGAATTAGCCGGATAACGTCGTTGTTGGCAACCAACTTGACCTCGGCAGTTTCTGGGTCAAAGTCCATGTGAGCTCGGTTCGGGTAAAAGAACCAATCATTGTTGGCATCCTTATGGTGGTAGCAAGTGACTTGTTGCTGATTGCTTCCCTCTGGATATGTTTGAACGTGGGAGTGAAGGAGCCCCCCACCGTAACCCATATTTTTCAGGGTTGCTTTTGATCCGTATGCAACTTCCAACGGAGAATTCTTTCCGACTTCAGTACCCCTCAAGTTGGCTTGGAACAGTGAGGACATCTGAGCATCTCCAGGTCCCGAGTTTTCGAGGATCAGAAAATGGAGATAAAAGGAAAACATGTATACCAGCATGGGGACGACAATAAGACCGACCACACGGGCAGCAACATGGGAAGCCAGTTCGACCTTCGGCATCTTCAGGTCGCCGAATTTGTTCCACAGGTCTTCCACAGTGTAAAGGCCGACAAGAGCTGTGCAGAACAAACCAACCCACTTTACGCTGCATACACATCCAATGCTGAGCCCAGTCAGAAACAGCCAGAAAAACCATTCTGGTGAGAAGCTTTCTTTTTGGAGTCGATGGAAACGTGCCCAGCACAGAGTGGTTGTGAACGTGAAGCAGAGCAACATCGAGTCCAAAAGGATAAACCTTGAGATCGTGGCGTAGGAATTCTCGCATAGCACCATCAATGTTACTAACCAGACAGTCGGCCTTTTGAAGTGGAGCTCCCGTGCAGTGAAGTAGGCAAGAGGTATGCAGACAGCTCCGAAAAAGGCATTGAAGACTCGCATAGAGGTGTAATTAAGCTCCTCAGGATATCTCTCGCCCGACTTGAACTCGAACGATCCATTGTAGCCAGCTATGTAGCCAGAAAGGCCAACCAACATCTTCCCCAATGGAGGGTGCACATCGAAGTAGAATTCGCGCTTTAGGTAGTGGGAGCCGAATTTGCCAAAACTGTGGAGACAATCCGATTAGTCTGCGGCGATTGGGTAAAGCCGGGTGTGAAAGTGGGAAGAAGAGCTTACTGAGCTTCATCCCAGGTGACAATAGGCGACAACCCGATGCGCCACATTCGTGTAAAGAAAGCAAGTGTTGTAAATATGAGAGGTGCGATCACGAATTCCCATTCGTCCAGGAAGGCAACGAGATTGGATTTCTGCTGTAGAAGTCAGCCGCTGAGCAATCGGCCTCTAGCTGCTCTAGCCTCAGATGAGCTGACCTTTTGCAACTTTTTCGTGTCTTCGGCTTCGATCTTGTACACCATTCCACCGTTGGCCTTCTCATGTGTCTGAATATTCCGCCGGCGGAGATCACCATCATCTTTGCCAGTTGTGAATGCATCGTGGGTGGCAGCCATATTGGAAACGTTTTGATAACGTCGTTGGTGTTGGGGATGGAAGCGCGAAGATAAAGAAGAAGGAAAGAAAACGAATGTCAGAGTCGTGGCCTTCGAATGGCGCGTCAATCACCGTCTGGTGGTACAATCATTCACACTTTGGAAGGGGTGTCAAGGCGAAAGGAGCTCATCAACCCTGCATAGATTGTCGATATGAAAGAAGTGTGGGAACGAGGCTCACTGGAGCAACAGAGCAATTGAATGAACCAGCCAGCTCTTCGAACCCACAGAAATCTGAACTGTGAATGCGTCTGGTCGAGATGACAAGTGGACGACGTGTTCTCTATCAGCATGGATGGTGCTAAAATGGCCCCTGCACCACTGCAGAGGCTGAAAGTCCTCCGCAGGCTTGGCGTGAAACTTTTCGGTAATTGAACCGATCTTCCAAGCAATCCTTCTGTTAGATGGCTCCTATTTGAACACAATGGATGGAATTGAAGGAGGCTTCGACAGAAGACACAGGTAGAATAAGATTCGCCAAATTCGGTATCATTAATTTATAGCTAATTGAGAAGCTCTGAGAAGCACGGCCTCTGGCCTCGTCACCTCTGAATCCTGTGCTTGGATTCCAAGATCTTATCCATGCTATGCCTTCTGACAACCAAGGAGGACAACAGCCCAACAGCACTGATAACAGTCATTACCATGAATACACCCTGGAAGCCATAACCGTATGCCTCGAGGATGTCATGCCGTGTGGGATCGTCTCTGCTGTATGTCTTTAGCCTGGTGATGAAACTTTGTGCTTGTTGAGCGATGGAAGTCGGCTGAGATAGCTGTTCCAACTTATAGGACATCATGTTCTGAAAGACTGTGCCACCGACAGCCACACCGATGGTCATCCCTAGCGTACGGAAGAAGGCATACATGCTGGCAGCCCGAGCACAATCCTCACCACGGGCAATCGATTGGATCGCGAAATTGACACTGGTCAGGACTATGCCGTTGCCCAAACCGAAGACAACAAAGATGCCAACCCATTCTGCCGTCTTGATGTTCTCACCACGAACGGCCATGAGAATAGGCAAGCCAGAACCGAGCGTCGTGATTGTCCAACCGAGATAGAGAGCCCATCGGAATCGGCCCAGATGCGTGATCAGGACCGAGACGATTGCTGAGCTTGGGAGCAGAAAGCATGTCACTGGGAAGATGTTGATGCCAGCCTTGGTTGCAGTGGCGAAGTGCACAGCCATAAAATAGAATGGCACGTAATATAGAGCCAAAAAGAGGACCAACCCTTGACAAAAAGCGCAGACATAGGCTGCAACAGCGGAAGAGCTGTAAAAGAGGCATCTTCTGAGAAATGGTTGTCTTGCGCCATAACGTTCCCAGAGCAATGAGAGCAAGATTCCCACGGTACCGACAACGATCGGTGTGATCGTACGGAAGCTTGACCAAGGAAACTGGATACCAGCCCACGAGATACCCATAAGGAAGCTTGTCAGGCTGGAAATGAAGAGGAAACCGCCGATCCAGTCAACGCGCACTAATTTCTCTCGCAAGGATGATCTGTCCGTCTGGAAGCGGACGAAGAAGTGAACCAAGATCAAACCAATACCACAGAAAGGCAGGTTGATGTAGAAACACCACCTCCAGGTCGAGTGTTGAACAAAGAGACCTCCGACAAGGGGCCCAAAAACGCTACCTGAGGCAGAACTGTCAGCACATGTTGCGCAACACTATAGGGAGAAATGTGCTACCCAACGCCCAGGCTACCAAGACCAGTGCGAACCATTTAGCTCGCTGCCGCAACGGCACAATATCAGCGAACACGACTTGCCCCGTCGTGATTATGCCACCGCCACCGATACCTTGGAGGCAGCGGCCAGCCAGCAAGACAGGAAAACTCCCTGCACGAGCACAGATAATCGAGCCTGCGGTGAAAAAGACCAGCGATGCCTGTAGGAGCTGCCGACGACCAAAAACATCCGAGAGATCCGCAATGAAAGGCTGGAAGACAGCTGAGGTCAAAAGGTAGGATGTCCCTGCCCAAAAAGCCTCTTCGGCATAACCGTGAAGGTCAACAGCCAAGGTGGGGAGGACCGAGACCAGGATGGTGGCATCAAGTGCCACCACTAATGAGATGAAGGCGATGGTTAACATGATCAAGTATTCTTGCCTTTGGGGTTTCCATTCTGTGCTGGATGACGAGGTAGATGCTTCCATGTCGCTTGGAGGGAGGCTAGTTGATGAGCTTTCTTTCGGAAGGTCATTGCGATCTGTGGAAGATACAGTATGTGCTTCTCGAGATCTTGGTGGACAGGAGTGGGTGGGGGATGAGGGTTTATGTGCCTCTTGCGTGGCCATTGTGAAGAGATGTGACGGCCGCTCGAGTGTGACAGAGAGAGACGACTATGAAGTCCAAAGAAGGCGTTTGACTGGTCTGAACAATCATGAACTCAAGCACGAAGGCAGATAGCCGAAGAAGTACGAATATGCAGGAGTGAAGTCGCTTGTATTATATTGAATTGGGAAGGGAGAACGGAAAGCTGAGGGGAATGCTGGACAATCAGGTTAGAACCCGGTAAAAGGGAATGTTTAATTAGCTATCGAAAGGGCTGTCGAAGAGGATTATCAGCTCTTGCAAATTTGTGCAAACCGAAAGTCTGTCCATAGAGCAGATGGCTTCGAAATAGCTTCATGAGTGGGTGCACTTTGTGCCCCACTATTCTAGCATGTGGGTATCGATTGAGGCCGATACAACGTCCCTTTAGTCCAAAGGCTATTTAGGCTTGATATAACCCTGGTTTCCAATGTCTTTCATGCCTCGAGAGCAACAGCGAAGACACGGAGATGCTTTACAATGGCACTTCCTAGGAAAAAAATACCTTCATGCCGGCGGTGTTGATTGGGGGTGTATAAGGTGGTCGACTTACGGACTCCGAAGCGGCCATGTTTGGGTAATGTCGCTATGTGTGACAAGTATAGATACGTCGCGACGATGGCCGAATTCTGTGGTGGGATAGTACAGCCCCGCGCGAAAGTATCTGACCAAAACGCGTCATTTTTGAACACGCGTTTTTTTACACCCTTTTTCAAACAACTACTATGGCTCAACGCAAGGCTCTGGCGCCTCTTGAAATTAACAGGAGCTATGGCAAGGAGTTGTCTCCATACCAACGAGGTCAAATTTCGGCTTACAAAGCTATAGGGTTGACAAATCAAAAGATTAGTCAAAATTTGCAATGCAGCAAAGCTACCGTTTTCAACATCCTTATTCAAAATCTACTGCACAACTAAGGTAAAAGCTTGCCTTGTTCAGGATGCCCTCAGGCCCTAAATAGAGTTTAAAAACGCAATATTCTACGTCTTATTCATATTAATCTAAAGGCTACTTATCAAGAAATTAAGTCTGAAGTTAGTATTAGTGTTTATTAAAGTATGATTTATTAAATCTTTAAAGACAAAGACATTACTAATTAGCTAACTAAAAAAAGACTTTTATTAATTCTTAAATTAGTTATTAAACAACTTATATAATATCAAAGATAATAAAATTAGATATAAGATAAGTAAAGTAAGATTATATTTAGTAATAAATGTTTACTTAAAAGAAATAATAAAGTATATTAAATAGTTTTTTTTTTTTTTTTTTTTTCTTCCTCTTTAACCTATTTCAGATTTACTATATAAATCTATATAGGCCTAACTATATAAAGGGCTATAAAGTAAATAATGATTGATGGAAGTCGGCTGAGATAGCTGTTCCAACTTATAGGACATCATGTTCTGAAAGACTGTGCCACCGACAGCCACACCGATGGTCATCCCTAGCGTACGGAAGAAGGCATACATGCTGGCAGCCCGAGCACAATCCTCACCACGGGCAATCGATTGGATCGCGAAATTGACACTGGTCAGGACTATGCCGTTGCCCAAACCGAAGACAACAAAGATGCCAACCCATTCTGCCGTCTTGATGTTCTCACCACGAACGGCCATGAGAATAGGCAAGCCAGAACCGAGCGTCGTGATTGTCCAACCGAGATAGAGAGCCCATCGGAATCGGCCCAGATGCGTGATCAGGACCGAGACGATTGCTGAGCTTGGGAGCAGAAAGCATGTCACTGGGAAGATGTTGATGCCAGCCTTGGTTGCAGTGGCGAAGTGCACAGCCATAAAATAGAATGGCACGTAATATAGAGCCAAAAAGAGGACCAACCCTTGACAAAAAGCGCAGACATAGGCTGCAACAGCGGAAGAGCTGTAAAAGAGGCATCTTCTGAGAAATGGTTGTCTTGCGCCATAACGTTCCCAGAGCAATGAGAGCAAGATTCCCACGGTACCGACAACGATCGGTGTGATCGTACGGAAGCTTGACCAAGGAAACTGGATACCAGCCCACGAGATACCCATAAGGAAGCTTGTCAGGCTGGAAATGAAGAGGAAACCGCCGATCCAGTCAACGCGCACTAATTTCTCTCGCAAGGATGATCTGTCCGTCTGGAAGCGGACGAAGAAGTGAACCAAGATCAAACCAATACCACAGAAAGGCAGGTTGATGTAGAAACACCACCTCCAGGTCGAGTGTTGAACAAAGAGACCTCCGACAAGGGGCCCAAAAACGCTACCTGAGGCAGAACTGTCAGCACATGTTGCGCAACACTATAGGGAGAAATGTGCTACCCAACGCCCAGGCTACCAAGACCAGTGCGAACCATCTCTTAGAGGGGACCTATAGTCCTTGCTGCTTTATTAGTGTAGTTGTCCGCTATTTCGTTGCCCCTAATCTCTTTATGTCTAAGTAGCTATTATAGTTTAGTTAAGATTTCCTTTTGCTTAAGCTCTTTAATAGCTAAATAAATGTCTTTAAAGAGTAATTAAAAGTGGGTCAGATTACTTTTTAAGAGAAATTATAAGGTTACCTAATTATTAGAGTAAATAATAGCTATATAATTAGATAAAAAGGAATTAGAGTAGATTAGGAAGAGCCTAAGCGTAAGAAGAATGCTAGTAAGTTCTTTATAGAATACTTATATATTACTAATAGTGCTTAGGGCGCAGGAAAGATGTGTAATTACACTTATAGCTGCAGCTAAGATCTTATTATTCTGACTACTATTATCATAATATATATGCATAGATAGCGTATATAAGTTATATATATATAGCTAGGTTATTGTCTTTTTTAAGGAGGCGATTTTGACGTTAAAAGAGACGTACTATAAAGGGTTAGTGCTTAAATTCCTTACTTTAAGACAAGATAAACTGCCTATATAGCTTTTTATCCATTTTTTTAGTAAGTAAAAAGGGATAATAAGAGGCTTAGCCTGTCTGCTCTTATTACCTTAACCTTATTAATAAATGTAGCTTGCTAAGGTTTTAATCACGCTATAAAGATCTGTTGCTAATATATAATAAGTTAAGTTAGCTATAGACATCTCTATATAAAGATGTATTAAGAGAGTAAACGTTTTAACCTTAAGCGCCTACATAATAGTAGCTTTATAGGCTTTTGTAATAGCCTAAAGGCAGCATCTTTAGATGACTTATTATTATACCCTCTAGGGCATACTAGGCGTTACAGCTATAAAGTAACTTTAGTTGAGTAGCTAACATGTATACCTAGAGCCCTAAGGAGACAAAGAAGCCCTAGGTAAAGCCGGATAGTGTTTTTAGAGCGCTTAGATAGTAAACTGCCTGTGCTTTAACTATGCAGAGGTAAGGTTTTCACTATAATGCCAGGTTAAGCTAGACTCTGAGTACCTTAATATTTAACTTAAGGTTAAGGCTTACATTTATAAAGGGTAATAACAGTTTAGCTAGTATATTAAATCTCTTAAGCATATAAAAAAAGTGGATTAGGTTATATTTAGATGAATTAAAGAAGGACCTATAATAGATTACTTATAACTTATATATATAAGGTATATATATTTAAGATTTCTATAGTTCTGCTCTATACTTAGACTATATATAAAGATATTAATATTGTTAACAAAGCCTGTAATACTTATATAAAGTAATATGTTCTTATTATATTAAAAAGATCAATATTATAGAATAAGTAAAGAATTAGAGAGATGTGAGAGCCTTACAGAATGCCTATAAATATTCTGCTACTTTCTAACGTGAATTAGCTAAGGCGGACCTCAGTTTCCTTATCTTGAAGAAAGTCCTTAACCTAGTTAGTAATCTTTAAAGGAATCCGTCTTTTTTAAAGATTATAAATAAGTCTTTTGTAAGAAACGTAATCAAAGACACTAGAGATGTTAAGGCTAAGTAATAAAGCTACTCTGTAACGTTTAGCCCCTTATATAATATAGATTTTGTTAGTAATTAATTAGAGAGCTATTTTAGTAGATCTTATTTACCTTACTCTTATTTAAGTATCTAAGAGAAGAGAGTGCTTTTTAACTACAAATTAAATGCGTTTTGTAATCACTACTTCTAACGCTTTATCTAGTATATTAAAAAGAATAATAAAGTAATAAGCTTTCAGGTTAAAGTAGTCAGATTTTCTAGGTTTGCAGATAATAACTATAATAACATATTTAAAGGCTAAAGAGTAAACTTCTAAATAGTAATATATGCTAAATAAGCAAGTAAGTAGCTCTAATTACTTATTAATAATTATATAAATAACTTAATTAAGAATACTATTAGGCCCTAAAGCATTATTCTTTTTAGATTTTAGAACAGCTTATATAATCTCTGATTATGTTAGTTTAGGCAAAATATCTATAGGTTCTAGGTAAGTAAAGCTTTAGATGTCAGAAAGATCTACTTAAGAAGGCAAGAGGAAGTGGTAGTTGCAGAGTAATTCAGCTTTCGCCTTAGGTTCTGAGACGGTTACTCTGTTCCTATAGAGAGTAGGGAACAAGACTTGTATAAAGATCCTCTAAGATTGTTGTCTCGCTTACTTAGCAGTCTGCTATAGCTTTTTCTGTGATTTACCTGCTTCTTATATATATTATCTAAACTCTATATATTTAGCTTTAGTTATTACGTTGCCCTTCTTATTATAAGCTCTAGTAAATGTCTCTTAAGCTTATTCTATATAGGTGATATTATAGTGATAACGTAATCTTTAAGAGAGCTTAATAGCCTTTAAGCACTCTGTAGTCTAATATAATTTTAAGAATAAGCTAGGGCGTAGCTATAAAGTAGACTTATTAATTACTTGTTTTATTAAGTTTATTAGTATATTAGTATATTTATTAATCTCTTTTTTATTATAAAGAGGAAGAAAGTAAAGAGGAACTAATATTTTATTTAATAAGTCTAAGAACTTTTTTTAATTCATTTCCTTTTATATTCTTTACTTATAAATAAAATATAATTTAAGAATGATTTGCTATTCCTATTCTATTAAAATTAGGAAATAATCTGACCCTTATTCTAATTTAGATATAATTTTATAGCCTATTAATTAATTTAGTAAAGAGTTTATAAGAAAGATAAGGTTAATAGTAGTTCTTTAAGCAGATTGTCCTAAGTAAACATCTCTAGTAATAGTTCTAAGAGGAAGCGTAAGCAAGACACTTATATTATATATGTGACTTAGTAATATATTAGAGAGGAGATATTAATATAAATAAGAAGGACTATATTAGAATAGGTAATATAGATTAAAGTCGCTTAAAAGGATATGCTTTCTTAGTATATTAAGAGCTTAGGAGAGCAAAGGTCCTCGTTCAGCAGACATAGGGCATACAAATCCGGCGCCACTCCTCGAACCTCAGACATCTCCACCCAGCATATTTCACAGCACTTTCCCTTTTCGCCTTGGATATTTCCTCAATTGGCGTCCTAGTTACACATTACAAACAGTCAAAGAGCTTGACCTTACGCAATCATTCTTCCACAAAGTATCTCGGCATGAAAAACTCTTAATTCCTTAGCTCTTAGATCAACTAGGTAGAACTTATTATTAACTAGGTTATAGATAATATTACTAATAGGGTTACGCTATAGTTCCTAGACTATTATTATATTATACGATTAATTCCTAAGTCTTAGAAGAGAGGGGCAAGGACTTTTAATCTAGATTTATTAACATTATATTAAAGGACTTAGAAAGTATATATTATTAAGAGGGTTAAGAGCAAGTAACTTTAATATTAGGGTCTTTTATATTTACTTTAGGGAACGCTTATAATTCGCAGGCGGGTATTATATTAATAGCCTGTGATATGCTAAAGAGTGTAGTACCTAAGGTCTATAATTAGTTAGAAGAAGTTAAGGTCTTAATTAGAGAGATAAAGGAGTAAATCGCCCTGAAGTTAATATTAATAGTGGCCGCTCTAGCTAGACGGCTTATAAGATAAGCTATCTTTCTCTTTTTGCCTTCTTCTATAAGGGTCTATCCTGTAAGTAATCCTAAGTTAAGAGAGCAGCTATAATTAGATATTTAAGAGCTAGGGATAAATAAAAAGGTAAAGAGAAGAAGGGAGAAAGAGGAGAGAGAGGGAGAAGGGTAAAAGAGTAATTTCTAGCTCTTTATAATAGTAGCGCGTTTTACGTCTTTAATCTAGGCTAGGCAGGCGAATAATTATGCTTTATAATTTCTGCTAGAGTATATAGCATAGCGTCTGCAGGTAGCCTGCAAGTCAGATAAAAAAGTATAATCTTATATTCTATAGCCTAGTCTATAGTATTTGCATTTTATCTTATTCTTATATAAGATGCTAATATAGCTATTATATCTTTAATAATTATAGCATTAAATAATGCGGCTTTTCTTATTAAATAGCTCTATAGTCTTAATCCTGTATTACAGAATAACCTCTTTAGAAATTATGCAGTTTATATATAAGGAGCATACGATTTAGATAATTAAGGAGGAGAAAGCCTTATATTAATTAAGCCTCTTAAGTTAAGAGGCTCTTTTAATTAAGAGGCTAGGATAGAGCTTCTTATTCTCAGCCTTAATATTCCTAACTAGAAGATTAAGGTTATATCCTTCTTTTCTAGTAGTACTAATATTATAAATAAGTATAGTAAAGGGTCAGATATAAATCTTAACTAATAAGCAGATCCTATTAGTCTAGTTAAGGTTTAATTATAGGCATGTCTTAGCTAAGGCGTCTTTGGCCTAGAGTATAAGGTCGCTATTTAACAGCTTTTTAACTATAACTATATTAGGGGTATTAGTAAGGTTGTTTCTTTTTATTTATAGTCTTTTTATAATCTATCTAAAGAAAAAGAATTTAAGTAAGTAGGCATTTTCTAGAGAGACCTTAACTAGGATTTAGTTGTCAGTATAAGAAGATTCTGATTAGGCAGGCATATAAGGGACGACAGCGCTTGCAAGACCGGTACAGGTTACCTATGCATAGCTTATAGGACTAAGGGTAACTTTCTGATTAATGCCTGAGATAAGGGCTTTAATTTTCTCTAGTCTAGTCTCAACTAGGGATAGATCATATAGGGCTATACGAAGGTACGTGCGGACAGCTAGGAGAAAAGGGGTAAGAAGAGAGAGTAATGGATTGTCAGGTGGCAGAGAGAGGAGAAAGGGCAAAGATTCGAGTTTTTTAATTGTGCTGAGAAGGCTGGCTCTTTGTGTTCTGTTGTTAGAGAGAGCGGGAGGGGAGTAGAGAGGAGTAGAAGGCTGTAGGATTTAGGAAGGTTACTTATTATTAGAGGGCAGGTGGTTCGCTTGCAAAGAGAGCGTAATTTGTATAAGTAGTAAGTTAGGCATAATCGTATATTAAATAATTATAAGTTTTTTATATATTATAATAATATTAGAATTCTAATATAATTAATATATATAAGAAAGACAAAGATATTAATATTATAATATAAGGTATAATTTATAAAAAAGGTTATTTAGATATTATATTATTAGAGTATAATCCTAATTCAGAGAAGTCAGGATACATAGCTAATTCTTATCTAATAGTACTTTATAAGCAGATGCCTCAGATATATAAACCAGGGCGCAAATTCATGCAAGATAATGCCCGAATCTATACTGCAAAGAAGATTATTAATTGGCTTTAAGAGGAGAATATAGAGTTAATAGAATAGCTAGCCTATTCCTGATCTCAACCCAATTGAACACCTCTAGGCGCAACTTAAGCAATAGATCAATGATCACCACCCAGAGCTAATTAATATGGGCAAATCGGAAGAGGACTATCAACGATTGTTCAGAGCTATTTATAAGGGTTGGGATGTCATAGGAGAAGAAGCTGTGGCCAATCTCATTAAGAGTATAGATAGTCGAGTGCATGCGGTCATTGCGGCCAAAGGATAGTACACCAGATTCTAAATATCAACTGCCTATTTAGGAAATTAGCCCAGCCTTAATCTCTGGATGTTTCTGAATATTTTGAGCTGTTTTTCATCAGAATCCATCAAGTTGGTAACTTACTATGGTCATTTGTATGAAGATGGTCCAAAATGTTGGTGGGGTACGAAAGTGGGGTTGGTCAGATACTTTTGCTCTAGTACTGTATCAACGTTAACAGCGATGCCCGCAATATTCGTGGCCAAGAACGGAAGCTGCGTGACTAGGGACTAAAACTAACCTACGTAGTACTTAGTACAAACTTAGCGCAGCCCATCCTTAGCAGCAGTAGTGCAACCTTATTTCATGCTCACTATGAAACTTCCATCACCACCACCACCACCGCCAGCACCACCGCCAGCATTCTCTAAGGCAGCCGTTCGACCCTAGGGAGTTAAAAATTATGTTCGATGTCATTGAAAAAGACGCCTATCGATGCTGGGCATGGCCATCGAGTGTTGGGCTTGATTCACATGTGACCGGCGGCTCAAAGATCTGTTCTCCGCCTTGTAGGCACTCAACGACGTCTAGAGCATATGTTTCTTGCCACAGGAAGGCTGACCTTGTCTCGGCAAGGGCTTTGAGTCACGATGAAATCTAGATCAGACGGTCAAATTTCTGGAGAAGTGGAGCAAGAGCAAGGCCCTGTCGGCCATCGCAGCATGTACTACCCTTACATTCTTCTAACATGAGTTGGGTTCGATTCTAAACTTACAAAATATTTTCTGAACCATATGAAGGTGAAGGAGCTGTTCAAGGTGAAGAGCTTGGACATGGTTCCACTGCCCAACATCGTCAAAGACTATTCAAACACATAGCGTTGTAGTGAAGCAACAATCACTTCTTATGCATGATCCGACTGTTTGAGTGCCTTCCCTTTCTGACTATAGACTTACTGCGATTCGTCCGTCTACAGCTTTTATTTCAGAATGTGGAGCGAGCCATCTTCCAGCCAAGATGTGGACCTGTTGAATGGCCTCTAGCATGAACGGGCCAATTAGTCCCGCTCGGCCCCACAGAGCTGTCAGAATATGGATACCGTGCTTACTCTACCGGCGGCTGTATCATGCAGGATTAGCCTTGACAACTCAACAACGGCATGGCATTGACAGCAGTGGACGATGATGAGCAATCCCACCTGCTTCTTGGCGCATAGAGCTCAAGATGAGAACTTACTTTTAAATATTCCATCGTTTCTATTTTTACTCTACCTCAATTCCCAGTCTCTTCCTGTCCCTTGTTCACTTGTATGCACACCTCTTTTAACTGCAGTACATGTCACTCTCTTGAAGTCCTTGTCGAATTAATTATATATGAACTTTTAGCAGCGGCAATGGAAGGCTACGACAATGGTCTGCCTGCTCAAGGGTTTTATTCTCAAGCAGCAAACCTCTGGGTCCGCCATCCGAAGTCATGCTCGCCGGCATCGAGCTTCTCTTCCGATCGAACTGCCTTCCACAATATCCCCAGTCTGAGACTTTTCTTTTCGTGGACTAGCGCTCGTCCTCGGCCGATCTCTAAATATACCACGGAGTACATCGAGATGTTCCCAAGTATTCCCATAATGATCATCACAACGACCCTCACAGACCTCGCTTTCAAGTCGGAACGATCCAAGCAGTCTGCTCTCCTCCCAGTGGTGGACTATATAATCTCTCGGCACCTCGACCAGAACATCCACGTTCACTGTTTCTCCGAAGGTGGCTCCCACAAAGCCATCCAACTCGCAGAAGCTTACCTCTACACAACGGCCCGTAAAATGCCTCTTACATCACTCTGCCTGGACAGCACACCAGGTGACCACCAATACCACCGCATCGCCCGAGCATTCAAACAAAGCCTGCCACCCAATTACCTCCTCCGGGTCCTCGGCCTCATCTTTGCCTACCTCATGCTGACCTACCTCTGGTGCTTCTACGTCATTTATGGTCCGAAGAAAAACCTCATGTCTCGTATAAGAAGGGGTCTTGAGGACCAACGACTGTGGGACACTCATCATATCCCGCGCTGCTACCTATATTCGAAGAAAGACACGCTGATCAAACATCAGGATGTTGAGAGGCATGCCGTGAAGGCGATGAGGAAGGGCATACCCGTCGTGCTTGCGACCTTTGAAAGAAGTGAGCACTGCCATCATGTCAGGGAGGACAAGGAGAAGTACTGGCTGGCAGTAAAGTGGACATTGCAAAGACGTAGGGTCCAGAGTAGTGATGGTGTGCGTGTGGACGTGAAGATTGAGAGGGATAACTCGGCGGCGGAACGGGCCTCGGCGCCTGTGGTATCGACAAGGGAAGTCAGGCCACGTGACCCAGTTGCTCAAAGAGGCAGTTAGCTATGCCTTTGGTTGCTTCTTCAATCTCATTTCATCTTCCAGTCGGCAAGCGTCTTTACAGCGACCTTCTCACTTCAGCGGCGTGCTCTATGTATATTATGCCACAGTGTGCCCATCGAATCAATTGATCCAAATCAAGTCAAATGCTTGGCGAATCAAATCAAATTAGTGCTTTCGTCAAAGCAAATCGGCGTCCGTGGATTTGACAAAATAGTAGTTAATTTGAAGTCTTGTCAGAAAAGTCTTGAATTTTGGAATACTTGGGATATTTCGAGAGAATAATAAATAGTCTTGGCGGACACTTAATCTAGAAAAAATCTGTGGTAAATCCCCTTACTAAGACTTGATTCGATTTGATGGGTATCATGTTATGCCATACTTTGCTGTGCTATTAGCAATGACGAATATCGCGATCCCTTCAGCGGCTGTGCTATATCTGTTCTTAGAGTTAAAGCATCGTTGGTGGTTCTGCCTGGGTTGCATAGATGTTCAAGGCGTCCGGAGAGTGGCTGTAGTACAGCAGTATAATGCTTGCATTGTCTTATCCGATCTAGAGCTAATAGTATAGTAAGTTTTCGCTCTAGCAGGCCCGGCCCGAAGCTTGGCGCCAAAATTCATTGCAGTTCTCAGATCCCCTTCCTCCCCCCCCCCTCTTCATTCCTCTATTTCTCTACTAATACTCACTCAAATTTAGTGAACAATAGATTCTAAACAGGGAAATAGACGCCGCGTCTGCAGAAAGTCTTATTCGATTGATCCTCCTTCTCCTGCAGCCTCACAAAGGCCAGAAACGATGCTTGACACACCGCGCTGAGCGCGCCTCCTTACTGATGCATGCCACACGGCTGGCAAATTACCTCGTACAAAGCTATTTAAGATATATAATATAGCTAATCGAACTGGCTATTAAGTTCTTAAAGAAGAATCTATGCGCTATAGCAAGAAAGTCTATAATTAAGGCTGAAAATAAGTACTTACTTTATATAAATATAACGTAATTAAGATAATAAAAAATATTAATTTTAGCTTTACTTTTTTTAGTTGTTTTA